AAGTATCTTTTTCTTCTTAAGAGTATTACTTACTCTATAAGCTATAGTTTCTTAATAAGTAATAAGAAGCGTTCTTAGTTAGAGGGAAAAGTTAGCTTTTAGGAGTAATATAGTTCTAAGTGCTAAGAGTGTTTATAGGGAGAGAAAAAGGGATTAGACTAAGAGTACTTATATTAGGATACTAAGTACTTATAATAAGCTTCTAACTAGATCTACTTAAAGATACTTAATAGGTAGGAGTACTTATAAGAGGGTAGAAAGGAGTTATACTAAGGGGATAAGGCGTAAGAGATAGAGATATACCTATACTAGAAGACCCTCTAAAGTAAGTAACCTTACTAAGAGCACTTTTAGGTATACTTATAGGAGTCTACTTACTAATAACCTTCTCTATATAAACCTTCTTATAAGGGGTTAAACCCTCACTCCTATTTATAAGTTCTTAGTTATATCTATATTACTTAAGTATATTCTTCTAAGTATTAATTTAAGTTAAATAATACTACTTATAAGTTAGTAAGTTAATAAGCAAAAAGCTTATAAGTACTCTTATATTATTAGCACTCTTAATAAACTTCTTACTTATAGTATTAGCCTAGTAATAAGTAGTATTACGCACTTTATAAGTATATTTTTAGAGCTCTTATAGAATAGGCTTATAGGGATTATATCCTATATACTTATAGAAATCATAATAGTTAATCCTATATACTTATAGAAATCATAATAGTTAATCCTATATAAGCAAAAAAGGACTTTTAGGTAGTAAGTGTTACTTATAAAGCCCTATATACACTACTTATTAAGAGGATCTCCTTTATTATAGTTATATAGTTAGTAGTTAAGAAGAAGTCTCTTAATTAAATATTTTCCTAAAGAGAAAGAAATAAGTATAATATTATCTTATAAGTAGAAAAGCACTCACTATAGTCTTTATCCTCATCCTTACTTAAGATAAGAGTAGCCTGCTTATATTTATAATTAGTAGTATTAGTCCTCTTTAGAGCCTAAATAGGCTTCTAAGTAGGCTTTTAAGTAGGCTCTTAAGTAAGCTTAAGAGTAGTAGTCTTATAAGAGATAAGAGTACCTTTATAAGTAAGCTAGTCTTATTTATAAGGATAGTATATAGATTTAAACTTATAAGTAGGCTAGGCCTACTCTTAGATAATATTAAACTCTTTAAGATTATACTAAGAGGTGAGATAGAAGCCCTTACTACTAGAAAACTTATAAAAAACCTAAATATCCTTAAAGTTAAGGTTCTTATTATTAGTATTAAACTTATCTTCTACTTATAAAGTAGTTAGTTAATAGCTTTAGAAATAGATTAATAATACTTACTATTATCCTTATCCTAAGAAGATAGAATCTTAATAGGCGCCTTATCTTATTTATTAGTAAGCTTATTAGTATTATTATCTTAATAAGCCTACTAAGCGCTCTTAGTTTTATAGCATACTTATAACTCCTTTATAGAGGTAGAGTAATTAGTATAGCTAGTATTTATTTTTATATAAGTATAGCATTATAATATAAGGATAGAGAACTTAAGAGAAGGAAAAGATCTTATAAGAAGATAAAGAGAGAGAAGGTAGGAAGAGAGAGATTACTATATAAGTAATAGAAGGGATCTTATAAGTAATATAAAATAGTGCTTATAAAATATAAAAGTTAAGATATATAAGGAAGGAAAAATTTCTATAGGAGGGTTTATAAAAATCTCTGCTTTTATTTATATTAAGAGAGCGCTTACCTAACTAGCTTACTTAATACTAATATAGTTTATATATTTATATAGTATTAATAATATATTACAAGTTAAAAGGTTCTTTTATAACCTTATAAGGGAGTGCTCTATAGCTCTTTTAGGAGTACTCTTATTATACTATAAGTAACCTTATATTAGTACTATATTTAATTTAGTTTAGATAAGTCCTCTTAAGTATAAAGCTTCTATTAGCTATATATACAGCTAAGGGGGTGTATAGTGAGGTATTTAGTGATATACTATATGCCTTAGGAGGAAGCTTTAGTGAGCGCTTACTGAGGAGTAGGTTATATAAGCTATATAGGCTTAACACACTTAGGATATAAGGGGTACTAAGAGCGTAATATCCTCTTAGAAAAGATATACCTTTATTTAACTCTTTAGTCTCCTCTAACTGTTGCTCACATAATATTTATTATTAGGTTATTATATTAATTTTACTATAAGGTAGATATAATACTTATATCTTATAAGAGGTACTCTAAAGAGGTTTATATTAATATCTCTTATAGTAGTAATAATTACTTCTCTAGATAGATATTTTAGATAAGTATAAAAAGTTTAGTAATTTAATCTAAAAGAGCTAAATTTATTACCTTAATTAGAGGGATAGATCTAAAACTAAGGGATTTATATATCCTATTTAAAGTTAGTAATAGCTTTAAATATATTTTTATAAACTAAAGTATTATTTAGATTATTAAAATAGATACCTATTTTCTAAAGAAGATTAATATTAATAATTTATATTATATTATAAGGTTTATAGAGAGTACTATATAGTTAGAAAGTAGTTTTTTTACTACTTAGCTTAGTAGTAATTACTTTAGCTATACTAATAGTTTAGTTAATTTAGTTCTTTCTACTTATATAGTTTATAATTAATTTTTAAAGGAGATCTTAAAGTTCTTTAAAAATAGAGAGATTATTAAGAATATATCTACTAGTATTAATATTTAGTATAAAGGAGTTTATTCTCTTAATTAAGACTATAAATATAATATATTAATTTAGTTATACTTTTTAGTTATTATTTTCTTCTTTATTAACTTCCTTAATAATATTATATATAAAGAAACTATTNTTTTCTTCTTTATTAACTTCCTTAATAATATTATATATAAAGAAACTATTAGTCTCTATATCTATAACTTAACTAATAAAACTATAACTAGAGTATATAAATTCCTTTATTAGTTACTTTTTAACTCCCTATATATATATAATTTTATATAGATCTTTAGCTAGAGGTTAAGGGTTAAAATATAAACTAAATACTCTAAAATCTTCTATTAGGAATAGTAGAAAGGTCCTCTTTTAAGTTTAAGCTAATAAGGTATCTATAAAAACTTTAGATTATTAATTAATATCCTATTTAATACTAAAGTTTCTAAAAATACTATCTTAAGTTTAACTTTCTAAGGTAAATACTAAAGTAGATATCTATATTATTAATTACTAAATTATTAGTAGTTTATTAGTATACTTAAACTTATTATATACTAAAGTATAATACTTATAATATCTAAGGGAATAATTATTATACTTATCTAGATATAATATTATCTTTCTATAGTAATAGTTATATATTTTATATTTATAGAGAGTTTTAGAATACTTAATATTATAGGAAATATATAAATCTTATAGTTTTATACTTTTAAACTTAAGAACTTAAGTTTACCTCTTTATAGTAAACTTCTTCTTATTTAATAAAACTTTAATACTTTAAGAGGTTTATTTATATTATTCTTTTTTATTTAAACTTCTAAGTTCTTATAGGAAGTTATTATAGTTTTAAATCCTTATAATAAAGTTATTCTCTATAGAGTCTACTTTAACTTAATTAAAATATCTAAAACCTTAAATAAGTTTATAGATAAGGGCTATAATTAATAAGTTTATATTAGAACTATTTAGTTTATTAAAAGTTAAGTAAAGATCTTATATAAAATCTTTAGTATTACTATAGTTAATTTTAGTTATTCTATTCTAATTATTATAGACTTTATTTATAACTAGTTTATTAAACTTCTAAGTATATTCTTTAGTTTTAATAAAGATATAAAAAGTTAAAGCTATAATAGAAAAACTATTATTAATTATTTCTTCTAAGAGATTATATTAGATCTTCTTTATAAATAACTATTTAATAAATATAAAACCTATAAGTATTAGATTACCTAAAGAGCTTAAATCCTTAACTACTACTACTTTATTTTCTTTAAAGATTATATCTCTATTATATTTAATTAATATTTTTTTAGTTATTAAGTAGAAGAGTAATTTTATTACTTTAAAGGTATTTTTAAAATTAATCTCTTATAGTTTAAAGTTTATAACTTTAGTTAATTTAAAAATAGTATTATATATTAGACTTCTTAGATTTAGTCTTTTATTAACTACTTTTTATATAGTTATTTTAGTTATAAGGTCTATAGTAGAAGAAAGAGGAGAGTTAATTTAAAATAATCTCTTTTTAGTAGAACTAAAAGAAAATAAAATTAGATTACTAATTAAAAATATATTAATTTATTTAATTAATTTAGTAGTTTAAGAGAGATTTAAAGAGTAATTATAAATAATTATTAGATATTTATTAAATAGTTATTATTATATAATTATAATAATTATTAAATAATTATTAACTTTAATAGCTTAAAAACTAAAGAGATTTTATAAGTAGGAGATATATATTATAATAACTATAACTTCTACTTAAAAGTATTATTTCTAGTAACTTAGTAATCTATTAATTACTTTATAGTAATTATTAAACTATAAAGTTAGAGTCCTAATAGCTATTTAGGAATAACTTTACTATCTAGTAGATAGATTTAGGTATTTAGAGGGCTTATAACCTATATAAAGTAGCTTAATTAATTTAGTTATAAGTGTTAGGTATACCTAGCTATAAAGTAGTATAGCTAATCCCTTATATAAAAATAGGATTTAGGCTGGGGTTTAGGCCTCAGGCCTAGGCCCGGCCGACTACTGTCTCGCACAACCCACTTGCGGCTGACAGCTTGTTTCAAGATGTGGGACCAACCTCGTTCGGGAATCTTCCAGATCTGCATCTTCCTTGGCTTCAGCCTCATCAAGGCATGCCTGCATCATGTCGTGGGTTGTCCATAATGATAACATCGATTGAGTGGCGTTAGCATGAAGTTCTCGATATCACACTGCTGGATCTTCAGGCCATGCTCATGCGGCTTGAAGTCGTTGCGTTTTTTCAAGGTGCCGCTGCCCTAGGGATCAAAGGACCACCTCTCTGGCGAGCCTCCTCTCCCATCATGTCTTCGATATCCCGCAGCATATCCAGTCTCTCCGTGTCGTTCGCCTCCTCACACCATTCCCTCAACTTCTTCATCTGACGTTCAGCGTTTGCTCTGTTGGCCCAAGGAGCGTTCGCATAACACCATATGGACTGGAAAAGAAGACTGCGAGCTTGGTGGCGGTCCTCCGTGTTATTACGAACGTAGCGGCAATCCGCCAAGTAGGCGCAGCTGGACCCGTAGTAGAGCCTCGCGTGTGACCCCTCCACGTGCTCGTTCAAGTCAAAGTATTCCTGGGCGCGTTTGTAGAACACCTCCGCCATGTCCAAGACATCCTTCTCCCCAGGTGCCACTATTGACAGATACGCGATAACGTATCGATGAAAATCCAGCACAACCTTTGGTTGGTCTTCGTGGTGTAGTGTAACGTGTCGGGTGATCTCGAGAGATTTCCTCCGGATTTTATTGTCCGTCTTATGGATGGATTTAGCCTTTCTTGCGTTGAGTAGGAGGATGAGATAAAAGCCGACAAGACTGATAGAGCCCAGGGTCTCTTCTACTCTATCTTCAAGACGGTAGCAAATCTGTTCCATGGATGACTGAAATTCTTCGTGGTTTGTGATAAAAACAAGATGGCGAAGCTTTCGTATAAGCTGAGCAAAATCATGGTGGGTCCCTGGATTTGTTTGGGAAGTCTCAAATAAAAGTGTAACCAGCTCTTGGATCGTGGTCCAATTCGTTATCTGGTTCAACGTGCTCAAGACCCCGATTGGTACCGTCGCGTGGAATGATGTGATCATCTCTTCGACTGTCTTCCCGGCAACCGTTCTGCATTCCCCCACCTTTAGTTGACGATTTACAAGAGAGCTTCGTAGTTGACTTTCGAATCGAAGTTTGGAGTGGAGGCTCTGATATATATCGACGTGATCATCGGGCGCTGGCCTGTCTCGGCGTTCCGCAACTAGTGTCGCGAGTATTTCGCTGGCTAGTCTCACGATCTCTTGGCATGTCTGTGGGGTTGTGAGGTTTTCGCCATCTTGAGAGCCGGTAGGAGAGAGGTCCCCTACCGTAGTTGCCGGCGTCAATGGCCAAGGTTGTGGACGTGGAGAAAGTGTTTCCGAGTATTCAGAGGCGGCATCGTTGCTTATAGGGGACTCTTCCGGTGGCGTTATCGCACGAGCGGGGTCTGGTGGTAGTCGGCGAGGGATGATGCTATCGTGAGAAGGGATGTCGAGGGCGTTTGGCAAGGGAGCTGGTTGTGATGGTCCTGCGGGTGATTGTTCTCGGCTGTCTGGCCCACCATCCCCCGCATCTCGTCTATGCCGTCTGTTCTTTTCGACTCCCCACGTCTTGAAGCGACCCTTAAACATACGATCCCTGAAGAACTAATAAGTACTTTGCATTGAACCGGTGGTAGAAATATCTCTCACGTGGCCAAGAACCCATACGTCTCCCTCATGTGCGCCCGGACCGCCTTCAACGGCCGGCGCGAGTACATGTCAACAATGACGGAGCGGTGTTGCTCCCATTGCTGGGCAGTCGGCGGCGTCACCATGATGAACGGGCGAGCAGCTCCGTGTTCAGCAAACAATCTCGGTCACCGGCGACGGAACACAATACGACGCGAACAGTGCGTCCAGACTCGGGAGGCGTTGGGACATGGAGCGGTGAATGTGGGCAAGCAACGGCGGCGGCGCGCGAACTACGGATGTCGACATGGGGGGTTTATGAAGCTTGTGGCACAGAATATGTGCATTTCCGGATTGGTTAAGGTCTCGATGGAGCTGCCACGACTTAGCTGCATGTCAGATTCGCGAGCTGTCCAATCATGACATGTCGCTTGTGCAGAGCGCCATAAAATCAATCCAACATTCGCCAATCAGACTCAAGAATTAAGTACTGTGCAGGAACAAGGGTGATTTTGGGTTCGCCCGTTGAAAAAACTCGTGATGGCGAACCATCGTGTTGGTGTGAAGGCAACCTCATACCCTAGGACAAGGCAAAGTCTTGGGCGGATATTCCCATGTTATGCTGTGACAATGGGGCGAATTTTTGCACATTGTGATTGTTGCATTGGTTGGCTTCTCAATTCCAATTCGTCAATTTTATGCATCGCTGAGCTGGCGACTGCTTAGTCCCGCATCTCTAAGGCCATTTGGCGCAGACAGTACCCAATGTGCCCCTCCACGATGAACAGATTTATAAACAAATGCAGATCGGCCTCTCAATGTTTTTGCAAAACTCGTTTGCGTAACGAATCATATGACAAAACAGATGTTATATCATACAGTCTAATGGGCTGTTGACGGAACACAAGAAGAGGCTCTGCGGAACGTCCGGCTATTGACACGTGTGTTGGCTTGCGAATCGGAGCCGATGTGAGCACTGGGCCAATCCGCTCCGTGCCCGATCCGATAACCACGATAAGCAATTCTCAATTGCGACTTTGGCGTTCAACGCGGTTTTTGGTAGTGCGCTTACACTGAATGGTGGTCAATCGCAAGCCTCATCCAACGCCCCAAAACCATCGACCACCAATGAGACCCTGTGGCGTCCACAAAGCGCCTCGTTTCGAAATGACAATGTGAATAAAGTGCCTGAAAATGCAAAAACTCCGCGTCTTTTGGCGGTGACAATATGAAGCGTTTAGGCCAGACTGCAGTTGCGCAACGCCCGGTACTCAAATCGCCATCACACTTTGTCTTCATCGGAACAGAAGAGTCACCGTCGAAGTCAAAGGTACAAGACCGCAAAAAACATTTTTTCCATGTGGCACAGAAACCTGAAATTCTCCGACGAATGCTCAAGGACGTTTTTTTCGCATTGCCTCCCTATCCTGCATACGATCGGCATTTGATGTGGACGAAGGCGAACCATGCCACAGGGACAGGGCTTGTATTTAGTTCGTGTCCACGTATCGTTTTGGTATTCAATTCGCATCGTGTAACGATGTCGCATAATGGCAACTTTCGATCGGCCTGCTGATACTGGACGATGAGTCGTTAGAGATGTGTGCCAGAGATACTTTGCAATACTGAAATGGTTCCACTTAGCTGAGCAAGTTTTTCCAAACCGCACCAACACTTAGTCAAGACCGTTGAATAGGCTTTGGACCTTATTCAGACTACAAGCGAACAATAAGTCATAGCCATCAGAGATGCCGTGCTAAAATGTAAGCTTTCGAATGGGCTGCTCCGAAGTTCGCGCAATTATCCATCGGCAGCTGTGAAGACTGGTGATCCAATAACGAAGGGCAATAAAAGCAGAGTTCCTGCATATGCTGAGACTTGTCTTTCGATCCAAATGCTTTAGGAGTTGGGAAACGATGAACTTCTTACGTCCTTGCATGCGTAGGCAGTCGCTCAACCACTGGTAAAACCCAAGACATCAAGAGAGAGGAAAACTTGAAGCTCAGAGTTGGGGGAACCCAATGACCCCGAAATGCCTCACCCTGCGATTTCCTTTCGGACACACAAAAATGACCTTGCCATTGAGCCCTGCATGCCTTCAACGGGAAGGTATCATGGCCCACTGGACTCATCACTATTCCGGCAGGCTCGGCAGACCTGACTCTCACGCTCGACATCCTCCATGTCAGCGGCCAAATCCGACTTGTGTGGAATCCGAACGACCCAGATAGTCTCGATGAAACATCATCAACCACCGGCTGATCCATCACCCGCTATTCCCAGAGTAACTGACTAAGTCAATAGTTTCCCCTGCGTCTTCAGGCAGGGCGGACCTGCAGACTGCGGGCAATCGGACATACGCGGCTTCAGGCTCAGCTGGGCGTGGGTACCACCCATCTAAGACGCTTGGACTGACGCACATTTTACCCCTGAACTGACCTTCAGGTGCGGATACGTGGACATGGCCGAAAGCGGTGGTGTGGGCTTCGCGTGTTCGGCATAGACGACGAGTCCCTGGAGCGGGACCGAGGCCGGGGGTCTGGTGCAATGCGGGAGGCGGGGGCCCGATCCCGATGTACCGGCCCGGGCGGGTGGGCGCCGCGCCCGAAGGTAAAAACTGGACGGTCGCCCACATCACTCTGGTGCGCGTGAGCGCAGCGAGTGCGTGTCGCTGTTCCTGCGTGTGGCCGGTTTGACCCTGGCCGCGCGTTGCGGCTGACGATGAATATCTATGCACGACGTCCTGCTGAGCGTCATGACGCGATTTTCTTGTCAATCCAGAACACCATCTTTTTCTGTTCTCCTCTTCGTATTCCTCTGCCACGATACAACCACCCTCCATTGCGAGTCTACCCAGTTTTGGGACGATCCTCGAGGAAAAGACCCGCCAAGAAGTGCCGAAGTCTTCAATGCGACTTCACGATGAGCGAGACCGAGCCAGGCCCGGACTAGACCCGTAGCGTACGCGTCTTTTCAATAGTCGCTGTCTGACTTAGCGCCGTGCTGTCTGTCGGTCAGCAGTTGATAGTTGCGGATCACGATTGAAGCTATTCCTGGAGTCGATGTTTGCGCAAGCATTCTGTCTCTGGCGTGAAGCTGAAATGCATCGTTCGGATGAGTGGGCGACAGCGTTGCTTCTCGTGCGAGTTGCAGTGGACTCTGCCTGGATCGTGCTGATGGGGAAACTATTCCAAAGTTCCTTTCGAAACCCCTGGCGGAGTTTCCTTAATCGGTATGTGATCGGCAACCCTGGTTGATCTTGTTCATTCATCTCAGCCAGATTGATCATTTCGACTGACAGTGGCCAAAAATCACACCAAGATTGCTTGCGGACGCTGCAATTTCAACAATATCGATCTGCTCCAGGAACTCGAGAGTACGACAGACTCGCATTTTGCCGCCTGTAACCATCGCCTTGAGGGCTGGGGTAATTGCGACGATGTCGGACTATTTCGCATACCTCGAGTTCGGCCGGCCGTCTATCTTTGCGCCATCAGATCTTTGCCAACCAGGGGCGAGAAATCGACAGATTCTCGACATTTGCAGTCAAAGTTTCAGAGACGCCGTTTTCATTTCTCTGGATCCATCGCACCTCTCAGTGTTTCCAGCTATGGGTTATATTCGGAGCTCACTGAATGACTTGCGGAACCCTTTCATTGCCAGTCTTCGGAGACTTATGTCTGTCTATCATTACGGACAGATCTAGCACAAGGTTTGGCGAACCCTCGTAGGTGCTGTGCATCACTCCGTCGAGGGAATCTTTGACTATGTGTCAATCTTGATGGTCTGTAAACCCTCATCCTCTCGAAGCCCACGCTGTGGGTTATGAAGGCATGACTTGGATTGCCACAGTATGGACATGATTCCTTCGTCCGCCCAGAGGCTGTTGTTCTGACACAGACCTCGCTCTGGCCATCACTTTGTGTTCCCCGGCCTGAAGCTTCAAGCACACTTCCCATCTCTGCCATGCAAATTCCGTCCTTGGAGTGATGCTGGCCAGGTTCCATGACTTTCCTGCATCTGCGCTGACCAAGACTTCCACTACTTCTTCACAACACCATGCCCAGCCCTCGATCTGCACGTCCGGTCCCCGGAAGATAGCACCAGGTTCCGGTTTCGTGATGATTGAGTTGACTTCCACCTTCCACACGGGTCTTCTCTTCTTGCCTTCCGGGTCCGCCGGATCAATCTCGTTGTAGAACGTCGTCGTATAAGGTCCTTCCGCTCGCCTGTCCTGGAGAGATAAACGGCATAGCCACTTGGTCATGTTCGTCCCAAACCAGCCGGGAACCACAAGTCTCACAGGCCCGCCTCGCTCCTTGCCCAATGGCTCACCATTCATCTCGTAAGCCACAAGAACTTCTTGGTTGAGAGCCTTGTTCATCGGAAGGTCCTTCTGATATCGGTCCGCTGTAACGCCGTGGAAGGTGCCGTAATCAAGTCCTTCAGACCAGATGAATGTGGCCGCAGGTGATGGCCGCGCCAGCTCCAATAGAGATGGCAATGGGACTCCCGTCCAGACGACGTTTCCAATGCGCCAAACGGCTTCTGTTGGCGGCTTCAAAGGGCTGCCATAACATTCGTGAAAAGCCGTCACGGAACGTCTTGGGAGTTGACGCAGTTGGGTGAAAGTCAGTGCGAAAGGCCGCTCGACTAGCCCATCTATGATCAGAAGCCATTCATCCTCGTCAACCACCGCAGCGCCCATGTGTATGGTTTGGAAGAGATGTTCCTCGCCTGTAATGAAGTTATCGAGGAGATGAGGGGCAGGTGGGTGTCGAATAAAGAAGCCAGCGGGATCAATTGACTGGCATGCATTGCGTTCGCGTCCGTCCGTTGGAGCGATGGAAAGGTCCATGTTGGCAGCTTGCTCATGATAAACCATTTCGAAAGTAGTGGTTCAGCTGCTCTTCGAACCGTATGCCTATGGTCCAACTCATGCATCGCCCAGCGAGGCCCCGTAGCATGGTTGCGGTCCAAGACTCCTTATCTTTTCAGACGAGAGGTTGATGGAAGTAACTCGTAATCATCAAATAAATCGGGAAAAGTCTTTGAATTGGACGAGATTGTACGGCTCAATTGGTCTGGAGAAGTTGACTATATTGCGTTTGGGTTTTCGGTGTTTGAAACGGTGGGACACAAATGACGTGGGCAGTGGAAGCGGCGGATAGGATGCCGCCCCCAAATCGGAGTCAGAAGAAGCTCCGAATCTGTCAACAGCGCCTTATCAAACCCCGGATTTTAGTAAACTCATGCTCATCCAAGACAACTGTTAACCACTGTTAACCACTTGTGCGAGTGCAAGAGAATCCAGCATCTGACGCGACCAGCGACCTTTACAACATCATCGCATCGCAATGGCCACCCCAATCCGCATCGCAGCATGCCACGTCTCACCCATCTTCCTCTCCGCCCGCCGCACAACCGACAAGGCCATCTCCCTCATACATGAAGCTGCCAGAAATAAAGCCAACCTCGTCGTCTTCCCAGAGACCTACATCCCCGCGTTCCCAATCTGGTCAGCTCTGCGCCCGCCAACTGAGAATCATGACCTCTTCAAACAGATGGCGCTCGAGTCGGTCTATGTTGACGGGGAGGAGGTCTCAGCTATCCAGTCCACAGCAAAGAAGCTAGGCATTATGATCAGCGTTGGCATTTCGGAGAAGGTGCGATCGAGCAGCGCAACTCTTTACAACTCCAATGTGATTATCGGCGCCGATGGAGAGGTTCTGGTGCACCACAGGAAGTTGATGCCGACCTTTTTCGAAAAGTTGACGTGGGCGCCTGGGGATGGACACGGGCTCCGGTTGGCGGAGACGAAATACGGAAAGATTGGGAACCTGATCTGTGGGGAAAACACGAACCCGCTCGCGAGGTATGCGTTGATGTCTCAGGGTGAGCAGATTCACATGTCGACGTGGCCTGCGATCTGGCCGACGAGGCTTCCGACGCCAGAGGCTGGCAAGAATGACGGGGGTTTGAGCGTGGCTAAGGGTGCGAACTACGACAATGTCGCTGCCAACAGAACAAGGGCGGCGGCACACTGCTTTGAAGCCAAGTGTTTCGGAGTTCTGTGCTCTGGCGTTCTTGGGAAAGATGCCATTGAGATTATATCGTCGGGAGCAAGTCAGGCTCAGGTCGTCACGTCGGCTCTTGAGAACTCGCAGCGCGGGGCGACGATGTTCTTGGATCCTGCAGGGTCGCTGTTGCAGGGGTTTACTGTGGATGCGGAGACTCAGGAGCAGAAGCCGACCGAATATCTGCAGGCTACAGAGGGAATTTTGTATGCGGATATAGATGTTCAGGATTGTATCGAGGGAAAGCAGTATCACGATGTCGTCGGTGGATATCAACGCCTCGACGTGTTTGAGTTGAAGGTTGACCGGAGGCGACGGGAGCCGGCCAACTTTGTCGGTGATGTCTTGACGGCTGATGCAGAACTACCAACAGACCAGCACGCGTCCAAGTAGTTCGGGCTTTTGATTGAGAACTTGCTTGGTTTGAGTCTTATAATTCTTGACAGTATCAGAAGCGAGACGTGGCGAGGGGCTCCTCAGTGATGTGAGGGCGTAGATCCAAGAACAGAACTAGTTCATGAGCTTGAGTTTTCTCGGATTACTGATCACGACAAAATAGAGCATTTAAATTGATGTAGGCGCGGGGATTGAGAAGTACCTGCCGCGCATCAATAAGTGATATGCTACAGTTGACGATACATTCTAAAAGAAAATCAACCTTGTAGCTACAGGATCAGATGCATGGTGAAAATGCTTTTGAAGACTGCATATATATTGAGAGATAAGGTAGACGATGCGTGGTGAGGGAACAGACTGGCGGTAGGGCCAGAGCAAAAGCGAACAATGGGAGAAACCCGAGCGAGAAAACTATGAGGTAAAGGAGTACAACAATAAGATCGTGATAGTACAACGCAAGCAACATGAACCAACCCCTATCGGTGTTCTTTACCGGCTAGCTCAAAATTACAGCGGAAATTGTGGCGGGATATCCGCCCCCGAAGCCAACCAGTAGCGGCAGACTTTTCACCGTTCCCAAACGTCTCTCCACAGATAACGCTTCCCCAGATCACCTCGTGTGGACACTCGATACCCCGGAGTTCATCGCCAATCAGCTTATACGCATTCGTTGAGGGTAGTCTCTTATCTTGGCGACCGATAGCAGGCGTCGTACTGGCGTATGACACTCTCAAAGTCGGAAGAAAGGGGTATGTTCACAGCGAGTCGACACGCCATATAAGGCAAGCTGGTCTTCTCCATCATCGGAAGCCGATTGCTTCTCAACAGCTCTCGGTCTTGATTCATCTTGCATCCTTCGTCATGTCTCCATCTAAGCTAGCCTCCCTCCGCATGAGCCTGAGCACAGCGCTGGTAGTGTCGGTATGCGTCGTCGACTCCGTTACCATAGCCTACGACGGCTCTCTTATGGGTTCTCTCAACGTCATGGCCTCGTACCAAAAGTACTTTGAGCTCACAACGGCAACGACCGCTATCAACACATGCGCCACCTTCCTGGGAGCCATCCTCATCGGCCCGTTCACTGGGATGCTCATCGACTGGAAAGGCCGCAAGATGGGCCTCTATGCATCCGGCATCGTCAACATCATCGGCGCTATCATCGCTGGCGCAGCAGTGAACATCGCCATGTTCATCGCTGGACGTCTCATTATTGGCATCGGAGTCGGTCTGGGGCAGACTGCCGCGGGAACGTATGTAGCGGAAACGACTGCGCCATCCATCCGGTCTCTGGCATTAGGTCTCTACTTCTCCTGTTGGGCTGTTGGAGCCCTGCTTGCGGCCGGGATCTCTTATGGTGTCAGTATACTCGTGTCGCACATCTCTCTGTCGAGGTGACTGACTTTCCTCCTAGTCCTCCGCGCTTGAGCCATCAGATTGGGCTTGGAGAGTTCCCTCGATCCTCCAGGCTTCACCTCCTCTATTCGTCATGATCCTTATCTATCTGGCCCCAGAGTCTCCTCGATGGCTTGCCTTTCGCGACCGAAGAGACGAAGCCCTTCAAGTGCTAGCAAAGGTCAACGGGGCTGACGCCAGTGACGAGAATGTTCAGATGCAATTCAGAGAAATCATTGAGACATTGGAATACGAGAAGCGAGAGGGGAATGCTTTGGGAATCCGCGGAATGGTCCGCAAGCCCAACCGCAAGCGTCTACTGCTGGCCCTATCCGTTGCGCCTCTGGCGATGTTGACGGGATCAAATGTCATCACGTAAGTTTGCGCTTCCTCGTTACTATTAATTAGCTGCCCGGTTCATCACCTGACCGGCGACTTTAGGTACTACTTTGGCCGAATGCTGAGCCAGGCTGGCGTCACCGATCCAACCACGCAACTCCAGATCAATGTCATCCTGTCCTCCTGGCAACTAGTTGTTGCAATCACCGGATCGACACTAGCCGAGAAACTGGGCAGAAGAGTCCTCGCTCTCGGAAGTTTGGGTACCTGCTCAATCTTCTTCTACCTTCTCGCAGGTCTCACGGCCAAGTACGGGGCCTCGGGCGACAAAGCCGGCACATACGGCACCATCGCGTGCATCTTTCTCTTTCTAGGTGCATATGCCTTTGGAATCACGCCTCTTACGGCCATGTACGCGCCTGAAGTCCTCTCGTACAACATGCGCGCGAATGGCATCGCGATGCAGGGAATTCTGATCAAGTCTTGTGGTGTCTTGGTCTCAATGGCGTTTCCGTACTTGATGGAGAGCATCGGTTGGAAGACTTACATCGTCAATGCGTCGTGGAACATCTTAATTTGGGTGTATATCTACTTCCAGTGGATGGAGACGAAGGGTCTGACGTTGGAGGAGATTGATGTTTTGTTTGATGGGCAGAAGGCTGTTCAGACGATTGAGGAGGGTGTGATGAAGCCAGCTGCAAGGACCATCTCGTGAATTTTGAGTCGTTAGAGAGCCCTACGTTCTATACCTACCTCGAGCAAAATATTCAATTTGGTTTACTTAATGTCTGGTTTCGAAATGTCGATGGTGCGTGTTTAGACTCATTGGCGTGAATACCGGCGTTCGGGGGCGATTGGCAGTCCGATTTGGACGCAAGGCGCGTTTGTCACCAGCTCAGTAACGTATCAAGTTTGCAAGATATCTGCTGTTGCCAGACTGTCTTGCATTTCATAGATCTTTCAGATCTTCATATTGTCTTTCAAATATCCCAAAAAGGCAGTTGCCCCAATGAGTCACGCCCTTCTGACTGGCGCCCTTCGTCCCAAGTCATGTTCACTAGGTGATCTTTGCAATCATCCGGGCGCCACAAAGTCAAGTATTTACCGGGACTAGACCGGGAAATGCTCCACAATAAGGTGCGAAAAAGGCGGAAGTGTTCCCGCCAGTCCCGCCCGAGAAGCGCCGCCCTTCCGCCGCTCAAGAACCGCCATCCTCCCGTCAAACCCCGGGATTCATCTCTTCTCAGACGATAAATCCCACCAAAGAGCCCCATATCACAGATAAATGTGATCATGGAGACTCAGAAGCGGAAGAGAACCGCCGTCGCCTGTCATTACTGCCGTCGAAGGTGAGTTTACACTGGCGGAACTCGATCCCGCTGCCATCCGCTACAACACCAATGCAAAGGCGGATGATCGATGCGGCTGTTGTTGCACATCTCCTTCCGCTCGTGTGGATTGAACTGTTTGAATCACCTGGCGGGACTGTAGGCTAATCTCCGCGACACTCAGAAAACGCAAATGCGACGGCAGGCAACCCGTCTGCACTCTCTGCGAGGAAGCCAATAACTCTGAGTGCGAGTATCCCGCCACTGAAGAACACAAGTAAGAAAACATCTACCCGAGTAACTGGCGCACGGAATAAAGGGACTTTCCCGCCGTGAGGCTGACGTGCCACATGGCCCAGAAGACCAATCTCCGCAGACCAGACAGCCGAGATCCTCTCCCGCCTGCAACGCATCGAACAGTCCTTCGCACACTTCGCGTCCCTCCCGTCAACATCCCACCCTCAGCCAGATGACCACTACACCCCGAACTCACACACATACCCACCGCCATTCCAGAACCCATCCCCAGAGTCCGCCTTCCCGTCCCCAGGCTATGGAACTCTCTCCGTCGACCCATCGCTCCACATCCCCTCCGCCGCCGCGACCCCCGTGGCGCCCCCGACGGAACCATGCATCACCGCGCCCATGGCAATCCCCATGTCCCACTCCACCACCACAGGGAGCCTCCTACAATCACGTTCCGCCAAAGCGCTGCTCGGGGACTACCCCTCCGACGTCTTCCTCCGCGTGGAGAGCAAGAGGGCCCTCCCTGAGCCGCTGTCCCTGACCCCGATACCCCTGAGCCAGATTGTCTTTCCGGAGATCGATGCGGAGGAAGCATCGTCGTTGGTCGATAACTTCTTCGACCTTGTGAATCCGCAGCATCCCATCCTCGACAGGCGAGACTTTGAGCACATCTATCGAGATGTCGTGGGGAGCCCCTTGCAAGCTGACCTGCGCTCTGTTTTGGTCCTGGTTGTGTTGGCTCTAGGGCACGCATCTGTCGACACGCCTGATTTGACGCGAGATGGGTGGTTACCTGGCGTGGAGATGTTTACGCCCGCGTTGCAGGTGCTTCTCGGGACGTGGTTCAACTCGTTCGGGGATACGATCCTGCTCCCGCAAGGACTGTATCTTGCTGCGTTGTACTACAGCTACCTCTCAAGACCGCTTCAGGCTTGGAGACTGGTTCACATGGCGTCGACGAGTATACAGCACTATCCCATCCGGTGAGGCGGCATTCCTGGTTGCTACCGCCTGACCAACGGCTACTAACATGATCCTTAGACACAGGAGTATGCGTCAACCCTTGGAAGAAACGCACAACCACCAGCCCGTAACCCGTCTATGCTGGGCCATCTTCGTCCTCGAATGGTACGTCCCAAATCCACACAACCCCCCATCTCATCGTGTGCATGCTGACTTTGTATTCCCAGCGACATCATAGCAGAACACCACCTCCCCCGAAGCGGCATCGACCAAGTCATCGAAAACCTCCCCTTCCCGCGCTGCGGCAACCCGCCCGACCCCGCCATGCTCTCCTGGCTCGCAGACCTCTCCGCCCGGCGCCTGCTCAACCGCATCCACCACGTAATGTACGACACCGCCTCCCCGACCACAAATTCCGCCACCGCGGACGCCTTCGCCTCCGTCTCCGCGGAGCTGAGCCACCAGCTCGGCGCGTGGTACGACCTGCTCCCGTCCGCGATCAAGCCCGATCTGCATACCGCGAGCGGCAGCTCGCTGAGCGTCGACGAGGCGATTATGGTGCTGAGGTACCATGCCGCGGGGGACATCATCTTCCGCCCGTTTCTGCACCAGGTGTGTGGGACGGAGGGCGGTGCGGTGCCTGGGGAGGTGGTTGTTGAGAATGCGAAGAGGTGTTTGGGGCATTGTCGGGGGTATTTGGATGTGGTGGAGTATAGGTTGAAGGGGTCTTGTGGGTCGTTGGAGATTGTGCTGCATTCGTAAGTTGGAAGCTTCCCTGTCTCTGGAGAGGTCTCGGCCTTGCTAAGCAGTGACATGGGCAGGACGCTGGCCGTGATTTTGTTGTTGACGTTGGCTTCGCTGTCGCCGGTCTTAGCGGAGGCCGTGCCGGATATTGATGAACTCCAGATCAAGGCGATAACCCTGGTTGAGAAGTGGGCGTTTCCGGGGTCAAGTATAGAAAGCATGTTGTCTATCCTGCGGACGATGAGGTCCAAGTATCAGATACTCTACTGAAATGCAAGTCTCTCTAATCAGCCACAGAGGCTGCTGCCTATTCTACGGTGATGTCTAATTCGGCAAGAATGTCTCGGGAACTCATTCCAACGAAGCACTTGTAGATGCCGCGGTCAACCCTCCATTTCCCACCAGAGCCCGGGCCGCCTTTACCCACGACATCGAACCAAGCAACCGCCTTCGCGTCAAGATTTATGGCCAGCGACCTGGATTCTCCAGGGCGGAGCGAGACTTTCTGAAACCCAGCAAGGGATCTCGGGGCAGAAAGACGGCCTAGCTCCTTGATCGCAAGTGAAGAAGAGACGTAGACTTGTAGAACCTCGCTGCCCGAGACTTCACCGATGTTCTTGACCGCGATGGTGATCGTAGCTGAGCGGTCACCGTCGGCGGAGATGGTACCGCTCAGCGCGACATCGGTGATCTGAAACTTGGTATAAGACAGCCCGAAGCCAAAAGGCCACAGCGGCTTTGTCTTCTGCTCATCGAACCAGCGGTAGCCAACTAGCACACCCTCTCCGTACTCGGCATAATCATTCTCGGCGTCGCCAGGAAACCACTTATGCGATCCATGGTCCTCGATCCTCTTAGGAAACGTCAGCGGCAGCTTCCCGGAAGGATTGACCTTGCCGAAGATCACGTCCGCAATAGCGTTTCCGCACTCCTGCCCTTGATACCACGCATGCACAATGGCAGCGGGCCCATCAACCCACGGCATGGCCACAGCACACGCAGACTGCGTCACCACCACCACGTTCGGGTGAGCAGCTGAGACCGCAGCGACCAGCTCGTCCGTCCTCCGCGGCAGCGAGAGCGAAGTGCGATCCGATCCTTCACGTTCCGTGTCGTTGTTGTGCCCCACAACAAGCACAACCGCATCAGCGCCCTCCGCCGCCGCGACCGCGTCGCGGAACATCTGCTCCTCGTCGTGCCGGAAGAGCATCCCCACGCGGACGCCCGAGATCTTGTGAAAGAGCGTGTTGTCGTGGGGTCTTGTCGGCGGCGGCACGACGACGTTGTCGACGCGCAGGCGGTACGTCTTGCCCGCCTCTAGCTCCCTGCTTGCAAACACCTCGACGCTGCCGCAGTTCATGAAGTTGCCGCTGATCTGCGTCCAGTCTGAGTTGTCGATGAGCAGCTCGTCATCGATGAAGAGCTTCGCTTTGCCTGTGTTGGAGAGGCTGAAGTCGTAGGCTCCTGTAGCGCTGGGGCGGAGGAGGCCGGTTGCTTTGTAGCTGTAGGGTGTCCCGCGGAGGGAGGGGGGGACGTCGCCGTCGGACATGAAGTACACGAGGGAGTTGTGCCAGTCTGAGGAGGAGATGACGTTGCCGGAGAAGGTGTTGCCTGCGAAGAAGTCGACGCGGAGACCAGGGGCGCCTGTGACCGGGTTGGTGAGGCAGTCACCGATCAGGGGTGGTTGTAGATGCGTGAAGATGCCGCGGTGGTGGGTGATTTGGATGTCTGGGTTGGCAGACTTGGCTGCGTCGCTAATGGAATCGAAGGGTGTGGTGATGTAGTAGGGGTTCACGATGGCGCTGCCGGTGCCGCCTGTTGTCGGGGTTTTGGCGTTGGGGCCGATGATGGCGAGGGTGCGGAGCTTGGAGGGCGAGAGGGGTAGAAGACCGGTGTTCTTGAGGAGGACAATGCCTTGCGAGGCTGCCTCTCTGGCAGTTTGGCGGGATTCGGGAGTGTCCGATTCGCCTTCGTTGCTTTGTGTAGCTCCATGGATGCCGTTTGTGCCGTTATGTTGTTGGTTGTCGAGTAGCTGAGCTCGTGCGAGGAGATGAAGGAGTCTTTTGACAGACGGGTTGATGTGTTCTTCTTCGGAGACAGCACCACACTCGACGGCTTTCAGCAAGACTTTCCCGTAGCGAAGCGGAGGCCCTGGCATTTCAAGGTCTGTGGTAGCGCGGATGCTGTCGATGGTCGAGTTCAAGCCTCCCCAATCGCTCATCACCAACCCATCGTATCCCCACTCCTGTCGCAAGATATCATGAACAAGAAAACGACTTGTGTCAGCATGTTCGCCGTTTATCTTAGGATATGCTGTCATGGCAGTCCAAGGATCCGCTTCCAAGGCCATCTCGAACGGTTTGAGGTAGATCTCTCTCAGCGTCCGCTCATCAATCTGCTCATCCATATTAAACCGTCTCGTCTCCATATCGTTGGCGACGTAATGCTTCATACACGCGCCCACGCCCTCGCTCTGCACCCCTTTGATGTAATTACTAGCCATGACGCCTGTGAGATACGGGTCTTCGCCAAAGTTTTCAAAGTTGCGGCCGCCAAAGGGCGAGCGGCTGATGTTCATGGTCGGCGCGAGCAGGACGTGGGCTCCTTTGGTCTTGGCCTCGGCCCCGAGGATTTTGCCGACTCGTTGGATGAGATATGGGTCGAAAGTGGCTGCGAGAGAGATGCCGCAGGGGATGTATGTGGTGTGAGTCCCGTCAGTCCATCGTGAGCCGCGGACACCAGCTGGGCCATCACTTGTCTTGAGGCTGCGGATGCCGAGGCGGGGGATATCTGCAGTTTCCCACATGTTCTTGCCGGATAAGAGAGTGCATTTTTCTTCCAAAGTGAGGGACTCGAGGATCTTGGAGATGATGTCGTTCATGTTAGACCTTGGTGCCCCCATCGATGTGTCGATGGCCATTTTGAGGAGGATGAGTCGCACGAGAAGAGACAGTAATTATCTTCAAGAAGCCCAGACCGGCTCTGAAGTGTGATACCATATTGAATTCTAAGTCGAATTGAATTGTTCTATATACAGAAGTTCAGCAAAGAGAAGCCCACAAGCGTTGACTGGCACTGCATCTGGGATTCAAGGTGAGCTTGATGGGACAGCTCCACCGTAGCATGCTGCAGAGGCTCCATGTCAGGCGGAAGCAAGCCGCCTGGCCATCGATGATGAGTGACCATTGTCGTTGGCGGTCTCAGCGGTCAGCGTCCCGCGCATCCATGTTCGCGTCTGTACGTGGAGGATGTGCAGCGGGAAGGGGCGGGTTTTCCGTCACAACCTCAGGAGATGCAGTACCGGGATCTCCGACCCACTCTTCACGAGGACTCGGGAAAGTAGTGTCCGCGTCACGTGAAAGAGCTCGTGACTCCGCGTCAAGGTCGCATTCGACGGCCCGTGCATGGGACAAAGTAGGTCCGTGCGTTGGAGCTCGTCATTGAGCTTGGGAGGCGTGGGGAACCCGGAAGGTGTGGAAAAGGGGGGGCAACTGCCGCTTGCGATCCAAAGTTTAATCAGAGCTCCTGCAATTCTTATCTTTTTCTGCTTCCGGCGAATGATCTTTCCAGAACTCCATTTCCCAGCTTCCCCTCCTTCCAGTTCCACAATTCGAGCTATCTGCCTCTTTTCTTCGTTCCCCGAACATTCCTCCTATTCGCCTCCATTCCAAGATCCTCGTTCCTGCTGAATACATCGTCATCGCAATCGGTCACCATGGGTGCCCCCACTGCGACCCCGCCATCGGCGAGCACCAGCTACGGATACACGCCGACGTACACGCCGCCTTATCGAACTCCACAGGGCGCTTCCAGGAACACCTTCTCAACGTCAGCCCCGACACCTTCGCCGTTGGGAAAGCGGAAAGCTGCCGCCGCTAATGATGGATCCCCCGAGAAGAAGAAGCCGAAGAAGGATCCTAACGCCGAAAAGCGATTGCGCCGCTTCCGCCCTAGGCCGCCCTCCAACTTCAGCGACGTCTACAACAGAGCTCTGACGCAGAGGTGACTTCCATCGGACTCGACTCAAACTAATCCCGCTGACGTCTGGTCATAGATTCTATGTACTCGAGCGAAGAAGATGCGGCACTGATGAAGTTCCAGAGGAAGAGGTCGAGTTGACGGGGTCCACGGGCAACATCTACACCGTCAAGATCGCCCAGCGTCCCACGTGCACCTGTCCTCACTTCCTTGCCGGCAACCAATGCAAGCACTGGCTTTATGTACGCAGCTCCCCACCCCTATGTCGCAAACAGCTCTAACAGTCGCAGGTCATGTCCCGAGTCCTCCGCGCGAAATTCGAGCATACCTACCAACTTGCCCTGCTCACTACCGAACTCAAGGAGATCTTCGCCAACGCCCCGCCCATCGATAAGCCCTCCGATGCTACGCAGGATAAGAACCGGAAGCCCGTCGAAGGCGACTGCCCCATTTGCTTTTGCGAACTCGAAGCCGAGGGTGGCGAGGCAGTCGTCTATTGCCGCGCTGCTTGCGGCCAGAATATCCACAAGGAGTGCTTTGACACCTGGGCTGCGACGAAGCGTAGGAGCGGTTCGAACGTGACGTGCCCATACTGTCGCAGCGTGTGGGAGAATGACACTGGCAACATGGTGAAGACCGTCAAGAAGAATGGCCAAGCGACGTCTGAAGGCTATGTGAACGTCGCGGATCAACTGGGCATCAGCACTCGAAGAGGTTTGTTATTCGTACACACCAGCTTCAGGACTAGACTAACACACGGCTACAGATTACAGCACCTACTCGAGATGGTGGAGAGGCTCGGGATATTATTGAAGCGGATTCACTCCGCAAATCTGCTATTTACGTTTGGCTGTTTCCGGACCTTCACCTAGGTGCTTCGACTCCTTTTGGGTCGCAGAAGGTTTGTTGGCGTTGATTGGAGGATAGAGGAGTGCGAATTTGTGACGACGTTAGATACCCATTAGCTGGCTGCTGCTTTCAGCCAATGAATTGATGATACATAGTAGATCAACTTTTCGAGTCGCATGCCAATTGTTCATGAGGAAACCTCTTACACACAAAGGTTCAAAAACACGAATCAATCATCAGCAGATTTGTCACTGGCAACTTTCCAGGCAAGTGGTCGTCTATCAACTGGCCAACTTTATCATCAAACATGCATATTTTTCTGCGATTACGCTATTTCACAATGCGAGGTAGCAAGTCATTATAGTACTGAGCTAACCGTGACTTCGGCCACTGCTGCCAGGAACATATCACACATTTTACTGGCTCCTCTTCTCCCTCTCGGCCTTCATCTTCTGATCCTCCTCCTCAGTCTTAGGAACCTTGACCAACGTCGGCACCGTAACGGCATTCAGCTTCCGCAGAGCCTATCAACCCGTTAGCACACATCCACGCCCCGCATCGAAAAACCCCCTTACCCAAAAGGGCGGCAACAACATCACCCGACAAAACAAAGCCACGGCCCCCTCCTTCCACACCCACGCCAGCGTCCAAAAGGCCTTCGAATATGACTCCCGAAAAGCGTCACGTACCTGCGAAAACGCGCCCTCGGGCAGCTCGTTGTCCCACTTGTCGCTGACCTTGGCGATCTTGCCGTCGGCGCCGACCTCGATCTGCACGGTGCTCTCCATCGTCTGCTCGCTCTTGACGCCCTTGACGGTGTACGTATTCTTGAGCTTGAACTCGATGGGGTTGCCCGCGGATGTGACGGTGTGCGACTGGATCCGGATCGGGTCGAAGAGCGCGGGCAGGCCATACCACTGCGCGGCGAACTTGTCGTAGCCCTCGGCGATGGTGATGTTGTCCTGGAAGGTGGCGGTTTTGGACCAGAGGGAGAGGTGTTTGAGGGTAGGGTTTCCCTCGAAGAGCTGTCGGTGGTTAGCGATTCAGCAATATGATTTGAGGGGGAAGGGAGTTACGTCGAGAACACTGCCGACTAGGACTTTCTGCTGGTCGGACAGCGAGACGCCTGACTTTTGGACAATGTCCTTGTTCTTGATCCCGATTGACTCGAAGGAGGGCGCGTTGGCGGACGCGGAGGCCTGTGCCTTTGCGGTCTCGGAGGGGGTTCCGGTGGACATGTTTGCTTGGGCGCTTTTGGCGAGGGACTTGGCTTGAGGGGTCGAGAGGATTTGTTTGGCGAGGCGGGCTGTTGAGGGCATGGAGGCGGTGGTGTGATGGGAAGAGAAGGATTGAAGCGGTTAAAGGGAACGCAAGGTAGCTGGGTTTATGGAAGTTTTGCTGCGGTAAGGACTTTGACCATCGAGGTGTGTTGCGCATGTCTTGGTCGCGTCACTGGCTTGAGAGGCGTGGTGATGATGGTGGGTGACGTCATGACTTGGATTTGGGGACGGTCTGGGGGTTTTGCTCCGGCTTGGATCGGATGAGAAGATGCCATTTCGGGATTTTTATGTCCATATTAGGAGTGAAGCATTTCTGGTGGTGTTGATGTAAGTCTTGGTGTTCTCGTCCGCCGTGCTAGGTTCCGGTCTGGTCGGCGCCAGTTTCGGGGTGCGGAAGGGGGTAGACCCACAGTTCCCACCCGCACCCGCGCCGTCGCCGGTCCGGATACTCCCTCAATCCACCAGTAAACTCACCTGCGCGACTATTCTTCTGGAAAATAAATGCTTTTCGCCGGTGCTCAATTGCAAATGAATCTTAATATTCAGTCCCGTGGTACCAGCGCCCTCGATGTACTCCGCCGAGCTCGGGGTGCGGATGGATGTGGGTCAAGCCTTTCCACCCGTGCCGTGTCACCGGCCCTGTCGCATGGTGGCCGGCTAGCCAGAACATCCGTCCGTGTCAGAACTCATCAGCAACTTGGAATACCGGAAGCCCAACAGAACGAATCGTTAGGCCGAGTTTCACAACGCGGGTGAATGAGACAGATAGGCCAATCGGTCTCGATCGTCAATTCGGCCACCAATTGTGAAAACGCTGATTATGGTGGCCTATCATGACGCTTGTTCGACATGGACACATAGCAATGGGATCTTCACTGAGGATTCAACAACTTTCCAATGATAGAGGGTATCCTGGTTCAAATTGGAAGCGTCGCGATGATACGTCTGCTGCGTTAAACACTCGGATTTTCCGAGAGATTGTGCACACCCATCCAAGACATTCATCAGTTGGAGGTTGCACGAACCCCAGCCATCTCCCTGTCTCCGGTGCCGAAGACGGCAGGTGACGGCGCTGGGCGATCACGGCAAGCTCGGAGAGTAAGCTTCTCCATACTCGACCCATAAATAGCCCCAAAATAACACTATCGTTGCCGCTGCATTGACGTCACCCACCTTGTTGTGTGAGCCAAATGTTACTCGGTGGGGAACTGTCAAGTTACGATCGGCAAAACCTGCCAGGCCAAGTGAACCACCTCCAGACGTCGACAAAATCAGCGAAGCGCAGGAAGTGCGAGGGCTAGTGAGAGCGAGGCTAGTGAGAGCTCACGATGTCAATGGCTTCACATAGTTTACAAACAAAAAGTCTTGCCGACATAGGTACCTATTGTGTATTATGGCTACTCAGCCGCTCAAGCTCAATACCATGCATATTGCCTGAACCACACCGTACGATCACAAACAACAGCTTGGCACCTTATACCTACCTCATAACTTACCCTCCGGCCATCTTTCCATTAAAAACAGTCGATGAGCGCAATCAGACATCCAAAGATCATCGCCATAGCTGACTCATGTAACGACGTTGAGAGCCATGTTCAACAGAGGCTGGGCGGTGGAGCGAGCACCCGCACGCTATCGAACTGTACGTCGTCGATCGTATCTTGGCGGCATAAGTGGCACGTTGGAAGGTTGTGGTTGAATAGCCGCAGCCGACGTTGCAGTTTTCCCCGTTGACGCGAAGATCAGGAACATGATTGTGACCTTGTCAGCGAGCTAGACAAGACGATCTCGTTTTCAGATAAACTTAAACCGCCTCCCCCTGTTCTAAGGACCAAAAGGTAGGAAAGTCCCGCGGTAAAGAATCGACTTCAATGCAGTATCCTTGTCATCGGGCTGACGCGCGGCAATCAAGCGCCGTGTAGAAATATCAAGCTGTTCTTTGAATTGGGATGTCTGTAACACGTGAGTGAAGATCTGAGCGTCTCTTGGGTCATGAGAATGCTCTGGGGCATCAGATTAGGAGTTGCCCCAAGCTCTCAATATTAAGTGGCTTCATGTCTTCAGGGCTGAAGCCATTTGCCCCGGTTGTTACCCCACGTGCGGAATGTCGTGTTTCTGGGATACTGTGGAGAGGGTCGGAGTTGCAATGACTCGGCGTTCAACCTCAAGGTATCATTCCCCAAGGGGTTCCAGCTCTTGCGCGACTGGCCTTGGAAATGAGGGAGGGAGATTAGAGTGATCGGTAAGCGTTTTAAATCAGCGAAATCAACATTCACTGGGCTCTTGTGCTGGCAATATTTTGCTCTTAAGTTGTGAAAATGAAAAGGAACAAGTAATGAGGGTGGAGCACTGGACGTTGGAAGGTTCAACAGCGTGTGTCGTCATGGGCGAGACGGGTAGCCCACAGTGTTTGATCTAGGCTCCGAAATGAGGAACCATCATTCTGCATTTCCAGGCCTGTGTGACAGGGATCCTAAATTAGCCAGTGAAGAGGTTCTCGCGATTATCACGTCGTAGGAGAAGATAATGAGGAGGCCTCACATGCTCCGCGTTTGATGTTGGCTCGTAAACGTTTGAATTACTACTTTGAAGGAAAATGCATGCCTGCTCTGAAGAGTGATACCAAAGTATTTATACGTTGCTTAACCCCCCCGGCCCCGCCTTTCTCTTTTCAGTGCACATTGGGATGACTCTAGTTAGCCTCAGCGCCTTGAGCACCACACTTCTTTTCGCAATAGTACGTGAACTCGTCACCACCAATATGCCAAGCCTCAGAATTGCAACCAAGGCCATCCTGAAACACATATCAGTCGAGTAGGAAACTAAACGAAGTGCCAGACGACTCACAAAGGTGCAATCAGGGCACGTATCCCATTGGTTGCTTCCAGTATTGCGCGCCTTGTACATGTCGCAAGCACACTTGGTCTCGTCGGGCAAGATCTCGTAGTTCTTGACCCAGTTATAGCTGGGACTGTATGGAGTGCCGCCAATAGGGTTGTTCGTTCTGTCCTTGACGCACACGGCAGTCTTATGGAGGTCGGCGAAGACGCTATTGGGGGTCAATACACGTGGCCAACGAAGAAGGAAGTTGAGGAACGAACCCAGCTGCAAGGATAACCACGGCGAGGAGATTGGAGGTCTGCATCTTGGAAACTGATAATGAGTCGTAGAAGGATGGCTGAAAGACGAGAGTAGGGACTACAGGAAGATTGACGATATAGGCTGGTCAACGGTTGAGATATCTAGAAGAGGGCTGGTACGGGTGCTCAAATACAAGAATGATCTACGCGTTAGATTGGAATAACATAATATCCAACTCTTCCAACAAAGTCCACAGGAGTCCTTCTCATCGAAGACTTACAGTTGCGGTCGCGGACGCTCATCTTTCCTTCTTGAGTGTAATCAATCTATTTGCAACCAACTATCGAAGTACATTACTCAAACTGTGAAGCACTCGTCCAACATTAACACGATGTTCTCGTGCAAAAGGTCTCGCTTTTCTTGCAGATACCCACCATTTCAGCTTGATTGATGTCCATAGTTCATCTCATGATGTATTCTGAGTCGTGTGGTATGGAGAACTTCGAACGATCGCTTGCCTGTTAGGGTAAACGTCTGTGCCAAAGATGGAGCACATCTGGGTCGGTCCACCATATCGGTGAAGTGTTGCCGACGGGTCGGAAGTCGATCATAACTCGTTCAGTTATAGACGTCAGCTTGGGGAGAAGGTCTGCCTCCAATGATGTGGTCGGTGGTTGGCTGCTTCTCAACCCAATTATCTGCAGCCTCCACCATGACTCGCTGGGATGGCGCTGCAAGCGACTTCGTCGTCGGATGAACCCCACTGCCCTTGATGATTGAGCCGACTCGGAGTCTCATGCGATAGTCTGTGTAGTTGACCTTTGCAATTGACTGACGGCGAAGACATACTATCGACATTCCGTACGAGCTGAAAAGCTATAAAGCTATGATGGCTGCGACTCGATTTGCGACTCGATACCATCTCAGTATCCCCATCTTCTCTCCCTCAGATATCACTTCTCAGCACCCGAAGATTACTTGTCGTTGTCGGCACAATGGTTTCTGCCAAGCTCATCACCGTTCTCATGGCTACGGCCGCAAGTGCTGCTCCTCACTTTGCGTTGCGAAGCCAATACGGAAATAGCACTAGACGGTCTGTAGACCATACCCTGGCTGGCGATGAAATGCTTGTTTACAAGAACGGGAACGGTATGTCATTTTCTTGTCTAGTCGCTTTCATACACTTTGCACTCTATCACAGACTTATCAGACTAACGCCTTACAGTGGAGGTTGTCAACGAGAAGCAATGGCTCGCCCTCCTCGAGAGCGAAGGCATCAACCCGGAGACCCCCAAGTTTCCCCAAGACTGGCTTGACAGCGCCAACCACCTTGCGCCTACTCCATTCAACGAGACCTCCGACTCCAACCTCCACACTCGTGACTGCTCCAATACGTTTTCCATCACAACCGACAAGACGGAGCGTTTCGTCAACTGGGATGTACAAATGGCTCCTGTCGTCATCGGCTTTGGAAAGGGCATCGATGTTTCCGTCGCCTCTTCGTACTCAGTCGCGAACAGTGTATCTGGCAGCGCTGGTATTGACATCAAGGCTATCAAGGACCGTCTGGGTGCAAGCTTTGGCGTTGACTACACCCGCACGTGGACGACGACGGCTACCACGACGGTGCGAGGCACCATTGAGGATGGTTGGACCGGTACTGTCATTACCCGTCCCTGGGTGAACCGCCGGTCCGGCCGTACCTTTCAGGGATGCCCGGGCTCGCTGAAGCAAACGGGCACGTGGATCGCTGATTCGTACGAGGAAGGGTCCTATGAGGGTGTGAAGTGGGTTGCTGGAGCCATCACTGTTTGTGCCAAGCAGCAGAAGGCTATTCCTTTGTCCCGGTGCAACGGTGACGGAGACTTCAAATAAGAGGTCACGCTGTAATTGAGTTACTGCGGTCTAGGCCACCACAATGAAGTCTCGTTTTGACAACCTTTAGGGCGGTCTTTAGAGCTACCAGAGAAACCAGGTCGGATGGGAACGTAGATACCCGCGGTCGTTGACTAACGCATACATTGTAAATAGCTTTACGGCTAATATAGAACGGCATTCCGGTTGCCCGGTGCTCCCGAAAAAATTGGTGCCCAGGTTTTGTCATTGATTTACCTTGATTGCTTCGATGATGGACATCCATGGACGTTTTTGACAGCGCTTGTCCAAAGCGTCCATGGCAAGAAGAATCAAATGATCTTCCATGTCTTCAGTCCAAGAGCGCAACACATCGTGGAAGCCCCCTTCTGCTTTCGTCTCAGGTTCTCTGAATCAGTTAACAACCTATGCCCTGTTGCCAAGACAGACTAGACCCCTAATGTGGTGGATGACCAGGCCTCGCAGCGGCGCAGCAGTCTCAAAGACGCCTAACTCCCACAATGGCCGCCAAAGAGACGTGCTCGGATTGGTGGGGAAACCTCACATCTCACAAGCCGGGCGCGAGGCATTGGCGTACATGACATCACATGGCCTTCTTTTCGAAGCGCCTGCCCATGAGCACAGCCCATATATGCCTGAAGCCTCTTTTTTGCTTGCAAGGCGGACCCTGGAGGCGATGTTCCGACGGTGGATAAAAGAGCTGAAATAAGCTTAAAACCACTTCAACGATCTTCCACCTGAATTCCAAGCAAGACATAGTCTCTATCAACGGAAAGATCGACAGAAGACCATCATGGGTTTTGTATGACCTCATCCCCTTGGACACACCACAGCCAACGGTGCGCTGACAGCCATTAGTTCAGTTCCGTGGGACGAGGACTTGACAAGTTCGCCATGTACACAGTAAACAGCGTTGGTATGTGTAACCCTCCTCGCAGTGTTGTCGAACTCGTTACTGTTTCCGACAATTTCTGATTGATGAAATAGCCACAAACGCCCCGCAGAACCAGGGAATCGTTGTTGGCGACATTCCTCCTGGGAACATGCCGTCCAAGGGTCAGCGACCATGTCCTGAGCACTTGTTGCCGAAAAAGCGCGAACAAGCGTCGGTGCAGAATGAAGCCGCATCCCAATCGAAGGTTGTGGATTCGAAGGTTGTAAATAATATGCTTGGATAATGTTGTAGTGCAAGGTAGAATAGAGCCTCCCAACCGTCCGGTGTTTGTCATCTCATCGTACTTCCAAGCTGGTGCATTCGGCTGGTCTTCTCTCCGCAATCGCCCAGGGGTCTCAGCTGTTGTTTGTCAGCACTGCGTGAGTCACTCACGTCATCCGCATTTCTTGCAAGCATCTGCCTCTTCTGCCGGGTTTAAGACGCAGATGCAGTCAATGCTTCAAAGTTAAGGTCGTCTCAAGAGGGGGCATCCCATAATTGACCAATCACCATTCGGCCAGCTTACGAATCATCGCTGAAGTTAAGCTGGTCGATTCTATCTCTCAATCCGCCCATGTGCAAACCGCTGCTATCTCCACCAAATTGGAATCAAGCTCTAATCTGGATGTTGCAACATCGGTTCGGCCAACACCACAAGAGGGTATGTCAGCGGCATATCATGGCATGATTATCAGCATCCGAGCCTTGGAGATCACCTCCTTGCCGCTCGTATGTGCCCATGAAGAGACTTGAAAAGTATTTGAACCTGCCTTTCCCGCTTGCTATTGTCGAAAAGCTCAGCATTGAACAGCAGCAACAGCTCTAGCAACAGCAGCACAACATCCAAACCCCGTCCCACATACAACACATTCGCCAGACATGGCGGCCACTCAAGATAACAACAAAGGCTTCTTCCCATTAGCCGGTGTCGCTACTGATGGTTGGTCCACCGAGGATGAGGCAACAGCCACATGTCTTTGTGGTGCCGTCCAGCTCGCCTTCGTAAGTCCTAACAACGGCTTGCAATTCAGCTTGGAATCTTGACTGACCTACTGCCACAGCCAACACATGGGCCAGGCCTCATCAGTAGATTCCTCTGCCACTGCGCCGACTGTCGCAAAATCAGTTCATCGATGTTCTGCTCTAACTTCACCGTTGCCGACACCCACCTACGCCACCTTCGAGGCAAGGAGACCCTGAAGTCTTTTACCCAGTCCAAGACCATCGCCACGGGCAACGATATGGCCAACCACTTCTGCGGGAACTGTGGAACCCTCCTGTACCGTGTCTCTTCGGGGTTGCCGGGAATGAGTATCCTGCGGCTCGGCACTGTCGATGACTTCAGTTTAGTCGAAAAGAAGTTGAAGCCGCAGGTGGAGCAGTTCATCGACACTCGGGCGAGTTGGCTTCGTCCAGTAGATGGAGTCAAGCAGATGAAGGAGATGCATACACCAGAGGATGTTGCGGGAATAGAGTAGCACGAAAATTGTCAATTGGCAGGCTGAAACTTGCTTTATGATGCTATACGTATTTGTACCCTTTTGATTAGTGCTTCTGGCTCTTGTCATCGGTTTGTAGGCTGCCCTAGGACGAACTCCTCAGCGACAGGGCGTAGCGCGTGCTCTCGTCCAAGTCTTCAGCCGGGAGCCCCAGGCGATCTCCGTCAGACTCAAAGTCTGCATCTCCGCTGGGAAAGAAGACCCGAGCATACATCGATCTGTAAAAGCCCTCCGGCTTCCCCCTCTCCATGTCTTCCATGCCAGCCTTGTAGCGTGCCTCGGTTGGTTCGAAGTAGATCCTCCAGTCGTCGTCAGTCGTGCCCGTGACTCGCTTCACACTGTCAAACATCTCTCTCTGGCTGATTTTAAAGCTTGAAACGAAGAGGGTACTGTTGTGGAACTCGGAAATTGTCGTCGACTGGTCATCTTCGTCTCGGGGAAGTACTTTCAAGCTGAGAAGTGAAGCAACTGCGCGTCCGCACTGGACCCAAGTTGACGTGTTGATGGCCTTCATGCCGTCGTCGTAAAACGTAATGATGCGGTTGTCGAGATCGAATCCAAAGGTTGCGGGACCGGCTATAAGGCTGTACTCGTACCAGAATCCGTTCATCAAGGTAATTGATGTCATGCCGGCCTGTTGGATCTCGGCGATGTTTGCGAGGACCGTGTTCCCAACAGGAATGTCTCGTCGGAGATTCTCGCTGGTTGCGAAATTGATGCTGTAGGCGTTCGGCATCACGTACCTCACTCCTGCCTTTGCGGCGGCCCTGACCAAGGCACTGTGGGTTCCCGGCGCCGCGCTGAGGGAAAGCGTAATGACCAAGAAATCCTGGCCTCTCAGAGCGTCGATTAGAGATTCCTCGTCGTTGTAGTCAACAAATGTTTTCTCTACACCTTCGGGCAGCGAGTTGCTGCTTCCGCTACGCGTGATTGCCGTAACTCGATGCCTCCCCGTTTTGAGAAGTTGCGCTGCAATAGCTCTGCCTATTTGACCCCCTGCCTTGAAAGCAGTTAGTATATAAAGCCCAAGGTCGTCAGAGTCAACCGACCAACTTACACCAACAACTGCAACATTCTCAATCGAATTACGGAACCCTTCGGTTGCGTCTCTCGCGTACTTGGCCATCGCGAAAACGATTTCGATAGAGATGAATTAGAGCAGATGCAACGCGTAACCAACAGAAGCGGCGAATTATGTGTAATCGGAGTTGTCGAAAGTTTGTACGCTGTGGCAAGCTCCGTCGAATGGATGGCGCCCTTATATGTGAGGCAGCCCCCATCGTCGCCCGACAACCGTTAGTAAGTGGGCTCGGTCAAACTCTGGAGTTATTGGACCTGAAAGTGAAACTCGGTATCGTTTGTATCGTGGAAGTAAGGCTGACAGTAGGTTCCGGTCGGCCTTACAGGAGTTAGGCTTTCTGTCACCGATGATTCGGAGCCGCCGGTCGGCACCTCATCTGCGTTGTGGGAACAAAGATCCCTGCCTCGCATCCGACTATCTTGGTTATTGAACTCCATATGGCTAGCGTTACGTTCTCCATACTTCTTCTGCTCAGTTCGGAGCCGGGCGACAACCTTTTGGTCGCTTCCATCTCCACGGGTCCTATCGACGTAATTGATCTTGGTATATGGTTCTCTTCAATGTATGGTTAATTTACGCTTTCCTCAGGGTCAGATCGTCTGATTTCATGACACGTACAGAGCGGTCAATCTTCTACCAATCTCGGCTGCGGATACCGCCCCAGCCGCATGAACAGCCGGCAAGATGGTCACAGCTTTGATGGTGTCTTCCAACCTTAAAGGATTTAAAAGAATTAGTAAATCATCCGTAAGCCCGCAAGACAGACATGAAATCCTGTCTATTTGTGATCGTCTCATCTGCCCGCTATTTTTTACAGATCGTCCCAACTTCTCAGCCAGTCGGCACGGTCTCTCCGTCAATCTAAAGATGACCAAAGTCCTCGTTACAGGTACCGTGAACGTCAGGATACACTCCAGCGAGCAAAAGCTAACAGGTTGATTTTTCCGATCAGGCGGAACGGGTTTCGTCGCCGGCCATGTGATCGATGTCCTCCTTCAACGCGGACACTCCGTCCTGACGACGGCTCGATCGCAAGAGAAGGCGATGGCTATTCATGGATCTTTCAAAGACGTCCCCAAAAGCAAGCTCGAAACGATCGTCGTCCCCGACATTGCAGCCAAAGGAGCCTTTTCCGCTCTCAGCACCCACAGTCTGGAAGCTGTGCTTCATGTGGCTAGTCCGGTAAGCTTGCGAAACCTAGACAGCCTCAAATCCCCTCGTTGCTCACCAGATTCAGTTCCATTACAACGTCACCGACCCGAAAAAGGATCTGATTGACCCTGCGGTACTGGGCACAACCGGAGTTTTGCATGCAATCAAAGAATCCTGCCCTGGTGTGAAGCGCGTTGTGGTTACTTCCTCCTTTGCGGCTATTCTCAACCCTGGCCTTGCCGCCTCGGGGGCGGAGAAGACATACTCAGAAGAGGATTGGAGCCCGTTGACCATTGAAGATGCGTACGCGAGCCCCGTTAGCGCCTACGTCGTATCCAAAAAGTCGGCAGAGAAGGCTGCCTGGGATTTCGTCGCCAACGAAAAACCCAATTTCACACTCTCCACGATCAACCCGCCCATGATTTATGGTCCAGTCAGACTACCACCGAAGACTCTGGCTGAGGTCAACACTTCAAACCAGCTCTTGGCAGAGATGATTACTGGCAAGCACAAGGGCGGACTCCCGCCTACAGCGCTGCCTCTCTGGGTTGACGTTCGCGATGTGGCGTTGGCGCATGTCAAGGCCATGGAATCTGATGAAGCAGCTGGAAAGCGTTTCTTTATTACCAGTGGCTTCTACAGCAATGCTGAAATGGGCAAGACCGTGTGGGATAAGTTCCCAGACTTGCGGGGAAAGTTGCCTGGGCTCGATACCATGGGAGGAGCACCAAACCCGAACCTCAAGTCGTTTGGCTACGACACTTCCAGGGCCGAAGACGTTCTGGGAATGAAGTGGACAGCTTATGAGAAGACCGTGGTGGATTCCGTCAAGTCCCTTAAGGACTTGAAGGATTGAACGAACATGTATCCGCCCAATCGTAGACCTTCATTTCGTTCAAAACAACTCTCTTTGGTTATGCTGCAAACGCGTAGCTCCCAGTTGTTGCAAAGACTGACCAATAATCCAAATCTGGCTTCATGTCCATGAGATCGGCAATGTCTTTGGCCGTTTTCAAACCCCCGGACTGCCACATGTATGCCAAGCAGTTGTTTACCCACTGCTTCACTGAATCATCTTCCGACACTTGGTGGACAAGATACAACGGAGCCAGGAAGGTGCGACACTGAAGCTGTTGCACAGGCGAGAATGGTAGAGTGTTCGTCTCGCACACCCTTGGCAATGTGAACTGCGGTACGGACGCGCAAACGTGATGTGCAATGTCTCGGATCGTCTTCTTGAAAGCACTCTCTTGAGTATAGCTGCCATCGGCAGTGTAACGCTTTACGATGATGTATAGAATGAGCCTCATTGTTCGAAGCGCATTGGTGACTTGCGTGGTATAGTGGTCCGGATAGAGATGATAATATGTGCCGAGAACATGAGGGTTACTGCCGGTGACGGGTACTAAGAGGGGTCGCCATGTAGATGGCACTGTTGCTTCCAATGTAGCCAGCTGATCGTCCAGACTCTTGGCTCGGATGACGAAATTGCGTTCTGTTATTCTTCCCGCTTTAAATTCGAAGTGCAAGTTCGAGACCCGATTCAAAATGCCCAAAAAGCTCCACTTGGGGCTGTTGACATGATAGCCAATGTTGCGACGCACTGCAGCCAGCTCCTTAGGTGTATTAATACCAACTGTTGCGCAGGTAACTATGACGGCAGTCACTAGTCGGGCGGCAACTTGACGTCCAGTCGGGCTGGACAGGATGGTTGTTGCGCGGGAGTGAAGGAGGGTCAGACCCCCCTGAGAGTGACTCGTCCAGGCCTGAGAGTTCTGGTGGTCGCGATGGACCATCTTCTCGTACATGTCTAGTAGGAGAACCGATTGAAGAGCTTCCTCAGCTCCTTCGGAGCTAAGATCATTCAAAGATCGGCTAAGCCTCTGGATTGCTTTGACGTAGCTGGAATTGGCGAGCGTGATGAGATGCGCACTGCCCAGCTGCGTGCCCATATATGCTAAACTGGCCGCCTCGACACTCGCAGAGAGGTGATCGCATGCTGTGGCGGTCCTGTAATGGTGGGTTACTTCCCCCATGCTGCGCGTGAACCCGCCAATGTAGGTCGAGAAGAAAGCGTAGCGAGCGCGGGTGTCCCAGCCCAGTTCGAGACCAGTCGGCTGGCTTTGTACCCCTGGAATAATTCCGTAGTCTCTTTGGGTGACCACCTTCCGCTCCACCGATCGAGACTCGTCCCGAAACTGCAAGGCGTTGGGATCCCGATAGCCGTGGCAGGTTATCTTGGCCCTGCGGCATTGGCCGCAAGCTTCTAATCGCAGATCGCACTGAAAATCAACAACGTTAGTATGAGCCCAAACTTCCAGATTGATTGACATCTTTTCTGATGTTTCTGTATGCTGGTATGGGAGCGTACCCTTAGCTTTCTGGACCTGCAGGGAAAGCAGGCCGGCGACGGTCGACCGTGGAACACCATCTCGGCTAGCTCAGCGTGATTTTCCTCGAGGAGACTGAATGCCGAAGAGCCATGGGAATCTTGACAACTATTAGGAGTGAGTCTTTCTCGGCTGTCTCCGGAACTTCGATTACTTCCGTTTCTTGATTCCAAATGAAGGGGAAAACTACGCGCAACAAGCAGAGGCATTTTGAGCCAGGCCAACACGAACTTGACTTCGAGTGTGAAGCAACCTCATTGGGCATGAGATTGCCGCATCGGGTTAGCGTTCCGTTGTCCAAACTCTATTATGTGGATTTCCTTTGAAGAGCAGCGGCCAGTGCGACGAATCTTGAGATGCAGTTGTAAATGAACCTGGGGTCTTCGCTGCCTTTTCGGCAGCTGCTGTTATTCACTGAGTCTGACTTCAATGATTCTTCTTCAAACAATTATCATTGCTTTCATCAAGCTTGCTCTCGAATTTTGAGTACGTCGATATAGCAGCGCGCGACGGTTTCCCATGGCCAGGAACCACTAATTATACGCTGAAAGCTGGTGCCAACCAACACTCGCTTTCGCAAATTAAGTGCGATGGAATCGGCTCCAACACGCGACAATGAACTTACTCGCGACATGCAGAACTACGGCTATGAAGGCCGAGAACCTTGGAAGCTGAACCTGGGATACCATTTATTCAGTCTTCTGTGTCATAGGTTTTATGACCTACATATTTCAATGACTACCTCTGAAAACAGAGATGGTTACTTCTTAACGGCAATCCACATTGAAGCACTTATTGCGCTCCTCCCTTGCCGACTCCTTTTTCTTGGTACTTCTCGTCACCATACTAAGTCCTGCCCGAGTCTTTGCAATTTCTTAGCAAACGAACCCGCGCCGTATGATTCCCGGCCCCCGCCAAGTCATCGAAATGTCCATTGCAATCACCGTTCTCTTCCATAATGAAAAGGATTTTCAACACGATACCAACTTACATGTCAATCAAAACACGCCCTATGAGCACTGTGACAGGCAAGAAACCAAAGCGGCGGCTGTTCCTCATGCAAGGTTTGGCCATGGAGTCGACGGATATGCGCCGCCTGTCACCTTCGAATCATCAGCAAATTGGGATAATCGAGTTCAGATCATGTCTGTCTCAACGGGTACGAAAATAGAATGCGGAGATTTTTAGGCCGCTGGTACCAGTGGCCGGTCTTCTTCCTCGGTGAGGTGATCGAGAAGATGGGGGATGAGGCGAATGGAACATGTAGAGCCTGTTACGTTAGTGTCTGTCGACAGTGGGTATGTCAAGACTCGAATGAGATATCTGGTGACGCCTTTTTTATCGCTCGCAGCATGATAGAAGGCAATTCAGTACGACTGCACCAAGTTCCGCAGTCTCTTTGACCAAAGAAATTTGGGTATCGATTGAAAACAGAACATTGCCTATAAATGGCAGAGCGAAGTTGGTTCCTTCACCGGATCTCCTGCCACTATTTTGAGAAGATTAGTATGCCTCACTTCCAAAGCCCAAGATGGCTACTGCGCCGATCAATTCATACCGGTCATGATAAAACCCTGCCCGCTTAAAGGCCTCTCTTTCCATACCAACCCCTCCACCTCACCTCTGAAATCAGCCGTCTCTTCCACCAGGTCCCATTCCCCAGTGGTGTGGTTCTTCTTCAACGAACGGAAGATAATGGTTTCCCCCGCGTCCTCAAATATGAATTCGCGTCTGCATAGGCGTCTCCATTGTTCTGCCGCCGTGCCTTCCTTGGCATTGTCTCTTTCAAGGTCACGATTCTTGAGAAGAACGGCAAGGAAAGCTTGGCTATCCCACAATCCTTCCCGCCTAGGATATTTTTCGAGAATCCGCGTCGCGCTCTCTCTTACAAGTGGGTCGCGGCATGTCATGGCGACAATGGTGAGTTGCCATGCGATGCCAAACTCCATAGAGAAGAGGTTCGCCGGCGACTTGATATCCTTCTCTTGTTCGCGCAGCAATATCTCGATTACTTCGTTGATCTCACGGCAGTATGGCGTCATGCTGGAGATGGTCGCCTCATCAGCATACTTGGGGAAGAAGCTGTAGATAAACATGATCAAGTAGTGCATCCGCAGATGCAAGATCTTGAGATACTCTCTCCGACTGATGGAACTGTCTGACAGAGTCCTGTTGTAAAGAGGCTCGAAAGATGCTCGCCATTGTTGCAAGTGCCCCATGGACTTCTCACAATATGCAAGCAGCTCTGGGCGGTCTTGCATGATCACGAGGAGTTCGTCGATTCCCTTCTCGTCTGTAATCTCATCTAACTTGAGATCGTCGATGACGCTGAGCAATAATGGACCGAGTTTTGCGATTCGCCGCTGACACACCTGCCACCAGGTGTACGCTTGTTCGGCATCGTAGAAGATCTCTGGCATATTTTTCCTGCCCTCCCCTGGGTCTGTGTAGCGTTGGATCTGCATGTTGTACGTCTCAATAGTGTGGCCGCGGGCCTTGAGGCCTCTAATGAGCTCATAGGCCGGTGAGCGACTCGTCTTTACGTTGCCTGCTAGGACGGTGCGACTCTGTACGTCGAGGTGATTATACAGGTCCAAGACCTCAGTGATGAGTTGTCGCGGGTCGGGAGCGAGATTCCAGATACGCGCGTCCGCATCCTCGCTCATGAGCAGTTCCTGTAATAGCACGAAACCATATCTCACGTGCTGCAGCGCCGAGTGCCGATTTCCGCGGAGGGCCTCAAATGAAACAAACAGTATAGACAATAGGACTGCTTCCTGGATGCTTGCTGTTTGGAAGTCGGCGTGAGCTTGCAGTCGAAGAGCTTGGCAATAATGAACGATGGCGCTCTGGTAGTGCTGGCTTTGAAGAAGGTCGGCGATATTGTTGAAGTTCCTCGCGACGACGTAGTTCCCTTTTTGTGACAGCGCCCTGCTCATGGCGCCGATACTGATGGCCGCATGTCGTAGCGCTGGATTCTGTCTGCTGAGTTGCGGCATCATCTCGTTCCAGAGCTTGGTACGGGAGAATGGCGCACCGCCGAGGGAAACCTGAACAAGGTCGTTCCAGTCTTCAAAGTACACGCTGTCTCTGTCGTTCTCAAAGTCCAGAGAGTTCATGTCCGGTTCTCGTGGTAGCACACGCTGGTTGACACGACATGGTGAGGGAGGGTTGAGTCGTTGCGGTTGAGCGGCGGGCCTGCCCCTCGCCTTCCGTGGCTTGACGACATACCCATCGCATACGCCACGGGTTTTCAGGCAGTTCATGCAATGTGGCTTTGCCTCATCGCATTTGATGTGCCGTTTTCTAGAAGGGTTAATGTTAGATAACAGCCTAGGATCGGCCACTAAGGTGTCTTTTAAAACTCACTTGCCTGCTGAGGGTGAGCGGAGTGCAGCATACGCGAGCGGGGCTTTTGGTACTCACAGGTCACACAGCCTGTCCTCACTTTAGGCGTGCTGGTGCGGGTGTGTCTGGGGCGGTGAGCAACAGATAGTCTACCGTTGCTGTTGTTATCGCTTTCAAGTGAGCCGGCCTGGCTGGCAGCGCTTCTCGGCGATGTCGACGCCGTATCTGCAAGATGTGCTGGATCCATCTGATGGTGGGATTGTCCGAGGGTAACTCAAACGAGAGGGATGGGAAAGATTTCCGGTCGGTCGGTCGCTATGTCTCCGCGTTGGGCCCGACCCATGCAAAAGGTGAGCCGCAGATGAGCCCTTGGCAAGGGGTCTCTGAAGGAGCAACGTCAGAGGGCGTGCAGGTTTAGGTAGATTTACGGGCTCTGCAGCGTCTCCTGGAAGTGGGCTGATTTGGTCGAGATCCGCCGGCGATGTGTAGGGCGCTATCAAATTCGTAGTATGCTCAGCTGCTTGTTTTTGGCAAAAGGGGATGCTCTCAATGAGGCACAGAGTCGACGGATGAAGCAAACACGTTTGTCATCAAGGCAAGAGTGAACCTGTCAGCTCTTTTCCTGACCTGGACGTCGCGTAGGCAGTATTTCGAGCAGTGATCATGGGGCGCAGGGATCAATCTCGGCTTGAACGATCAAGGGGTCTTGATGCATACTTTATGCCAGATGTGGCTGAACTAGGTTAGAACGAGAACAGAACTCTCTTAAATGCAAGGCGAACTCCACATGACTCGAAAAAGTCCGTCCGCCTCGAACAAAGTACTGCCACAGGTCAGAAAGATTGCGCCATGTACTTCCGTACTCTCATTGTCCGACGATGGTTTAGCGCTGTATGCTGCAGTCAGCAGAAATGCGGCCGCCGTAAACCCGCAAGGATGATAACAGTTCCCCGCCGATCACTGGTTTACCGCTGAAGCCAAAGTTCCATTAATAATTCCCGTCCCCGCGCTCGTCTTTCCTCGATTCTCTCTTCCTTCCTCAGGACAATCAACCTATCTCGCCAGTCGAGACCCTCAACTCCCTCCGTTTTTAAAACGCCAACTTCTGGCCCCAAGGTAACGGGGCCCCTACACTCTGCAACAATGCCGGCCGCCGCAGCATCAGCATCGGCCGCCTGCCGCCAGATCGCCAGATTCTGGTGGCAACCTCACCAACAGTCTGCCATGGGCAGCGGATAATTGCAATCTCCCCGGCGAGACCGGCTTCATTCACGATCTTCAGTATCAACAACAACCGTTGTCGACCGCTGGTCTCCCGGGTGCGGATTTTGGGCTCTTCGGACCTGAATCCGTCCACACCGATCCGAGCCTTACCTGTTTTCTTGACCCGACACCTTGGGACACTCTGCCGTGGACGTCTGCCGCTACTGCGACGCCTCACGTCAGTGCCAGTCCCCTCGACAGCTCAATTGACCAATGTAAGTTGACTCACTCCGTGACTCCTTCGATTGGCCTCATGCTAAACATATATGTAGCATTCCCCTACATTGACACCACACCACCAACCCTCTTCGACACCTTCCCGGATAGCCTCCTCCCTCCTAACCTGGACCCTCTCTTCGGCTCCAGTGACAGCTCGAACAACAACAGTCCGAATCAGCCTCCACCCCTGGACATGTCAGTATACACTGCTGCGCCGGGGGCCCCATCATCTCACCGTTCCTCGCCCAACTCTGACGGCCAAGGCCAAGAGATATCGACCCCCCACACCGACAAGATCCTGCGTCGGCAGCGAAACACCATCGCCGCCCGCAAGTACCGCCAGAAGAAGGTTGATCGCATCTCGGACCTCGAGAAGATGCTGGAGGACATGACGCGCGAACGCGACGAACTCCGTCTTCGTCTCGCGCGTCAGGAGGCAGAGACCGAGGCTCTCAGGAGCGTCATGCGCAAGGAAACTAAGCCGTAGCTGGATGGTCAGCCTTTTTGCTTTTTGCCTCCGTGGGAATGAGTCATATGAAGGACGCGCTGGTGTTTGTCAGACGATGTCGGCTGGAAATGGACCCATGGACTCGCATCCTGTGGTGCGAGAGAGTTTTGTGTTCAGTCATCTTCCGGTGTTGTCATCATGTAGCAGCCAATGAATGGATTGTTTGGTTAAATGTCAACTTGCCTATGTCTTGATCATCGTGATATACCATGCGTTTCACAAGGCTTCTTGTCGTTGATGCTCGGGTTAACTTGAATTCAATGCTTCATTATAAACGGACTCCACGATGATGGAAGCTATTTAAATTTATCTTTCCATGACTTCGCGATCTTCTTTCCTTGGTGGTTCAGCATGACCCAAGATGGCTCATTCACCATGCTGAATTACGCCGGTAAGCGACAATCGCTCACGAAACCATTCCCGTGGACACCGAGATGCGGCACGGAATACGAAATCACCACATCTGGGAGGTGACGTCCAACATCAACATAATGGCTCAATGTAATGCTCGATGGCTCATTCATCGTCATTCCATCACGACAACGTACAAAAAGGACGTCCTTCAGCGACATATCACCCCTCGTCTCCCAGTCGGCAGCCCATTCCGGACCCTTCTTCGAGTGGAGGATGACAGGCTCGTGCACAACGCCGTGGCTGGGATGATCCTGGTCATTCTCAACCAAAACATGCATTAGCCCTTGCTAGCGCGGATGATTCATCGTGAGCCATGCTTGGCGCTGCAGCCTGGTCCAACCACGGTGTCACCCACTCAAGCGAACAGTTCCAGACGGGACGGAGAGTTCGCCCACCGACAACCCGACAAAAATGGGGCGATCCCAGGCAAACGGACGGGAATCAGGACCCCGAGGCTTGTTATCCTGCTTAGATGCATCGTCAGCCCCTTGGCGAGCTCGCTTAGACGACTTGATGCAAGCAGCTGTCCCATGCACAATCTCTGCATAAAGTCAATCGGCAGTTGGCTCGGCCGGTTGGTTCTGTACACAACTTGAGCCACTCATGTTGAAGGACTCGCTCATCCATCATTACCACCCGATCAGACTCATCTCGAACTCGACATTGCCCTTGGCTTTATTTTTAAATCCTCGTGCAGTTCGATTTTCATACCCATCAATGACACTGCTGCTTAGAGATTCATGGGCGTTGAAGCATGACACCGCGCACAGCCTGCGTCTTAGTGGTATGGGCGTAAATGCAAAAGGAAAGAAGAAGCAAAGAATGTGAGCCTCGGTCCGAGAAAAAGCACAAAATTCTGCCCAGAATGCCGAAAGTTCTTGGCTTTTGGTATTAAAAAGATGAATTTTTGCAGCTAGCAACGTATGAATCGACTTGAGGGAGTCAGAATGACGAACAACTACCTAGCTTTAACCCTTTCTTTACAAGGCAAGGCGATTCGTTATGCTGTTTCAGGCTGTAAAAAAGTACCTGGGAGCTAGTATGCGCCCTTTTTCTGAGTTAAGAATAATTGGCAACTTATACTCCGCAAACTCTTGGTCCGTGTAGCTTACGATGCTATGCGACATTTCATGGCGATTGTTCCTGAGTTGCGTCCCATAGTGAGTGATATAAGGTCCTTTCCTGGGGATTACTGATAGAAAGTGAGACGGATCCGAACCTCCTATAATTCATTCATTTGGCAATGCAGAAGATATCGTTGGACACCGTGGCCAAAATAACGATAGACACAACCGGGACTAGACCCCACCATCGTAGTTCTGATTATTCCGCCCGGACAGCAAAAGTGAATGCATGATGCAAGTAAAAGCCCAAATGTTAAGACTGAAACTTGGTTTCTCTCAATAACTATTAAGCTGGCTTTTCATGAGATACTAGTTGTTCATCGTGATCCTCGGCACGTTGGAGATTAGCGCAGAAAGTGGTCTTGATCAGCCAAGATAATGCGTTCCGTGAATCGTTCTCACTTGAGCGAGCAAAGGTTGTCTGCCTCGCTTGGGAATTGGTCGCAAGGAAGACGCAAAATTGGACGATATACATGGGTTGACGTCAAGTTTTAGTTTTCTGTGTATGTAGGTAGAGACTGTTGCGTTTACGTGAAGAAACAGCTGCTTTAGCGATCCCCTCTAACCGCGGCCAGCTCAAACAGATCCACAACATCAGGAACGACAGACAAGAACTGAAACCCCTTCGCCATTTTCATCGGAACATTGAGCAACCCGACGAAACACCTCCTGCTCGGCTCTTGAGTCTTAACCTCGGCAGATTGGAATATTCTCTGCCGCCTTGCCAAAGATCTCCACCGACCCGTCCCACCGGAAGTTACCAGCAGTGTACCGAGGGCACGCAGTGTCCATCTGCTTGAGGGCGTGATTGATGTCAATAAGATCAAGACTTCCGCTGCTGCTGGGTGCGTTGATGCAGTAGTACACTTTAGCGCCTCTTCGAATGAACCAGATAGCCTTGGGGTTGCTGCCGGAACGGAGAGCATAGGCTCCAGTTGGTCCGACCTTGTTCTTCCAAGCCGAGACCGCAGCATCGGTGCCGGCTCGGTCCAGAGCTGAGCCCCAGCAGGATGTGGAGCGTCTCCCAAGACGCTCGCTGACGGAGTTCTCCTAGTTCGCGGATGGCTCCACGGTGAAGAGCTTGGAGTCGCTGGCACCGAGAGGCTTGGCTTCCATGGTGCCATTCGAAAGCGTGGTTCCTTCGTACCAGCCATCGGGAAGTGCCTGGGCAAGGCCCGCAATGGCAAGCGTGAAAGCTTGAAGGGTGTTGAAGAACTTCATGATTAAAAGTTGTCGTAGGGGTCGAAAGATGGTTCCAAGATTTAGTTATGTCTCTTCCCTTGTAAATGCAAGTAAGGTAGAGGCTCAAGACTGCTGAGGTGACGAATAGAGGGCGTAGTGAGGACGACTGAAGCGACATATATATACAACATATGGCATGGAAGTTGAAATCTGTATTGTCCGGCCAACTCAAAAGATGTTCTGTCCGTTTAGATAACTCTCGTCTAGATAACGTAATATCACCATCGCCCTATTCTAACCAGTAGTTATGCTCCAGTGCCAATCAAGAACGACGGGTAAGGAGCCTATGTAGGATCCTTCTGCATCTGTCACTTGTTGCGAGTAGACCCAGGATCAGAAGTAAAGACATACTAGTAGTTCTATGCAGAATGTCATCCCATGCATGATTGACTGGTTGGGAAGCCACTTAGAGGCTCTCAAGGTACTCATTGTACTTCTACAGGATTCATTGTCAGACTTCTAGTATCATAATCTCGTACTCATGGTTGACGCAATACGTGTGCTAGATGAGATTAATGTAATCTGCGGATAATCCATGAGCGCTAGCTCTTGATGTAAGAAGCACTATACACCCGCTCAAGTCAACGTACGTTTTAGTGTAACACTGTTGTAGAAGCGAATGGGAGTGCGAAGCTACGATTGAGAGCGCCCTTGCGTGGTTGTAAAGAGTCAGTCCTGATACTTGACATATTGCGGCATTGCCGTTCTCTATGTACTGGGGTGAAGCTGTTCCTGTAGGATTTCCTGCAGCGAGACAGGCTGGATGCCTTCTCAGACTGGAGACAGCTGAAGCTGGCTTGGCAAAAGATCCTCAGACATAAGCGGGTTGATCATTGGCCGTTCATCTAACCTGTGACACAAGGGCAAATGATGAGTAACCTCGTTTCGCCCGACCAAGATGCCGTTGCTCCAATCCTGCTCGGCTGCGCCAATTCGTGCTACAATACGTACGTTCCCGGACCGTCTCATGGGTTGTCGACAGCCCTTAATAAGGTAGCACTTGCGAGTCAAAAGGGCCGCATAACGTCCATAGCATGCTGAAATAGTATGGAAGTGGCAATGAATCCTTCCGATACAGTATTGAACCGTTTCGCTGCACCTGTCCTTCACGTCGTGTTCCACCGACAGCGTGGCAAGCACTTGGCTCCAAAACAAGCTTTCGAGCCATGAATATGCAGTTGAAGAAATTATGTTATAGCTATCATCTTGGGTATCCATAAAGCTGATCTTAGAAGACCATTAACAATAAAAAGTCGGTAAACAAAACCAGCGCCCATCGCCTTTCCCAAAAACAAACTCCGACTAGACACCAGCTCGCGAATCAGTTGTCACTGATCTCTCCAAGAACCACCGAACAAGTGCTGAACGAAGGCATCATCAGGAACGGTTCCATCGTGTGTACTGTCAGAATGCAGTTGTCCCATCCCGAATCCGTCGATAGGAAGGACCAAGACGTCGCCGTATAACGTCGGCTTTGTCATATATGATAGGTTTCGAATGTCGGTCAGGCTAGGTTCGATGGTCTGCAAATGCTCAAACACAACGTCTGTCCAAGCCGCAGGTCCAGTAGAGTTCATGACTTCGAAGCTAGTTGGCTTCAGCTGGTTCTCCTTGACGCCATGCTGCCGAACCAGATCCTCGACAGATTCAACAACCCTGTTCGTCATTTTCTTAAAGACGGGATGTCCAGGAGCTGCCGCAATAGTCCATTGACAGAACTGAAGCGGATGAGGAATATCAGCCCAAGCGGGACCATCGCGCTGGTCAAACTCGATACCGACAATCAGCCGGGTTGCATTTCTCATGTTCCGCGGAACCCATGTGTCTACGGGCTTCAAGGCGAGGGTATCGGTATCGGTGTACACTCCGCCCTCGACGTCGAGGAGCAGGTATCGAAGCATATCGGACTTCATGCCAACATTAGGCATGTTGTTGTACGTTTGCAGGATCTTCGAGTGGTTTCCGAAGCGTCGCTCGACGAATTCTTTGCCGCCCTTCCCGCCAACTAGGGTACTACACGATTCGAGGTTAGCTTTTGTCTCTTCGCGGTATAGGAAAGAATTGTTGTCCTCTAAGAATAGAGTTGATGACGTCTGTGATGTTTGGACAAAGAAACGACATTCCGTTCCGCTAGCTTGGAAGGTGCCAAGGACCACAGAAAGCTCTGCAAGGAAACAAACCCCTCCAAAGACTGAAGAGGGAAAAAAGCTGGAGATTACTTACTAGGCGTAGTCGGTGTTCATGGCCAACCATGACGCTGTTTCCTTCAGCTTGTCTGGGTTGTTGACAGGGTATTTATCTTTCCAGTTCTTCGGGAGCATAATCTGCCAGATCTTGGGCGGAATGATGTGGCCAGGGCGCGGCTTGACCCAGTCAGATCGTGTTGAGTTGTCAATCCATGTTGTGTGCTCCCCGGAGAACATATCGGTGCTGAATGGAAATTTGAGGCCGTTCGGTCCGCTGTTGCCGTACAACCAAAACGTCGAGATGAGGATGAGGATGAGGCCCGTGAGTGCGCATGTTCGGTATCGAAGCCGGGAGAGCTGGCGGAGGAACCGCTCTCGCAGCGGCCTGCGAACCGCCAGCTCAGGCTTCTCGCTCATGTACATCGTCATCTTCGAGGCGGCTGACTTGGGAAAAAGAGCAAGCAGGACGACGAGCAGGACAGGAAAGAAGCCGTGGGGGCGCTGCCGAGGGGCAGACTCAGTACATATTGTATCACGCAAGACAATACACGACTCGAGGCAGCGCCGGCAGAGAACAATTCGCAAGCGGCGAATTGGCAAGACTAGCCGCAAAGGGAGGGATGAGAGGCTTCTCACGCCCGTACAGGGCGGGTCATCCCTCGATTGGAAGATCAGTGTGGGCACTCAAGACATCCGTCAGCTCCGCAAGCCAATTTGGGGCCAGAACACGGAAGCTCATCAGGCACAACATGGAGCGGCTGGCAGGGCGGGATTGCCTTGCACGGGAAGTTCTCCCTCCCTGGGCACCGGAGACATTATTCTGGGACATGACGGATAGGGCAGGCTAGCCTCAATCACCCCCATGCGCGTGGGTTCTTCGGCCTTTCGTGCTGGCTGGTGGTAGAGGGGACGCTAGGTTAGGGATGGCACGGATGGGTTCATTCGATGGACGGATGACACCGTGTTCCTGGTTCTGCTAAGGCTGTCAGTCGGCACCTATGCCTGTACGCACGTTACAATCCTTGAACTTGGTTTTGCTCTAATAATGCTTGTCTCTGATCATCCTTGTCTCAACGACACCCAGATCGGCAGCCAATGTGCTGCAGCCGAACGAGACATGCATGTTTCTGGATAACACCACAGTAATATCAACCGCAGGGCATCCCATCCCTCACGTCCCTCTCATTCCGTTCAATTAAATAGGCCTCGAAGTCAATTAAACTGCTCTTTCTCAGCCTGCCATCCCTCATGCAGTTGATCAGAAGAAAACAAGAGGGTAAGCAGAGACCATGTGCCTACGCCACACAACATAACACTGCTTGGCACCCGGACGAAGATGATCCGTTGAAGGGGGTAACTTTTCTTACTCTGACTTTTGAACCAGTCGCTTGGCGTCTTTTCTTTTCGGCTGCGCCCAGCATTAGTGCCAAAAATTTCTTGTGCTCTTTTCCCTGCATGGGCTAGTGAAGTCCAATACGAGCCCAGAGAACACGGGAGTAGGCGAAGATTTGCCGTGAGCTGAAAAAAAGGAACGGTACGTCGGTACCATAAAATCGGCACTTTGCAACATATTGAGTGGTTCACCCCGGCACGGAGTTGAGCGTTCTCAAGAGAACCTTATCTGGGTTGCAAAGACCCTGCATCCCGTTCATACGGGGCTTTTTGGGGCGAGGCAAGAATCGCTCTTTTCTCTGTTCCAATTACCGCGATCGGCCTTAAGTGGGGCCGCACTTCGGCGTCCGCGACCCGTACCGGGTGGATCCTTGGTTGATACGTCAGTCAGCCCTTTACACAGCCGCAATAAAGTTCAGCGTTGAGAACTTTTTTGCCTGGGCATTCAAACTGACTTCCGTGAAAATTAGCAACTGGTCAACTTCAAACGCAATCCAAGAACTGTAGAGCAGCCAATCATATCTATTGTGCTAAGAATAGCCTCTTGCGCGCGATACCGCCCTTCATTGATTACTGCTACTTTCCGTCAATCATCATTGAAACCATCTGCATTTGCTCAAATGCCATCTGATGCCGCAACATGTCCTCCGTGGAAACTGCGAAGCCCCTTGACCTGTACTCATGAGCAAGAGCCGCCGCTGACACTGAATTGCCCCAGACCTCAAGGAACGACCTGCTACCCTCCCTCATCATGCCGAACTCGCCATCATCCACATCAAGAACCTTCATCCAAACCTCTTTGACAGCATCTTCAGCCCACGAGCTGATTACAACATCCAGAGTGCGCCTGATCGCGGCGCTCTCACAGATAATTGGCAACAACGGGGACAAGTCGCCTTTATCCAGAGGAACAGGCTGATCGGGAAACTGAGTAACCAGCTTCAAGTACTGTTTAAATGTCGACATCATCACGCCAGCCACGTCTTCGGGCAGACACGCTTTTGCGAAAGCCATCATGACTCGTGTCTGATCTCCGAAAGGCTCTACGTGAACGATCACGTCCGCTCGATCGCCCGGGTCCATGATCTCTATGAACCTCATCGTCGAAGCAACTTCACCATCTTCACTGCAAGTTTGCGGAGTTCCGATGTCTAACCCCTGGAAAACCAGCAGTGACGAAAACCGCGTCCACCGCTTCCAGGCTGTGCACTTCTCCACTATCGTATTCGCCCCAATGTTCTCGTATCGCATGGAAGCTATGTGCTGCGTCTGTAGTTGCTCGACCAGATCTCCGTATGTGACTCTGGGACTATTGCCGGTGGCTGACGTAGTGATTCGTAGGCGCGTGGGGATGTGTGAAGTGCACGAACCCATCACATCCTCTGCGAACTCCACGGAGTGATTGCGGCCCCAGCCTGTTGAGCCGAAGACAACATCGTCTTTGCCAGTCAGTTCAGCAAGAGTGAGCGCCCAGGCCGTTTTGACAATTGCACCTTTGGTGTTGCCGCCGAAGGTGTTGCTGCTTCTGGCGCCAATGCAACAAGACTCAAGCAAGCGACTGTCGATCATGCTGAGGAGCACACCATCCACAAAGTTCAGACCCGACGGGACGTCATGGCTGGAACCCTTGTGACTGACAAGCTGAGTCATCTCCGCGCCATGAAGAAGTGATCTCCAGTATTCAATGCCTTCGTCTAACTCAATAGTCCGAGCGTAATGAAGGTATGCTTGATAGCTTCCTTTAAGCTCAGGGAGCTGGCATCCGTTGAGTAGAGACCTCATTTCGCGGCTCAAAATTGACACGGAGTGACCATCATATTGAGCTGCAGAAATGCGGATGAGGAGACGCTGGATCTTGGTGGAGTCATGGATAGAGAGGAGCTCAAAGGCCGTCTGAGGGCAAGTCATCTCAACTTGTCTGTCCTTGAAATCGTTCTCGATGAGTGTGTTGGTGGCATGCTCAATGTTGTCAAGGTTCAGGTGAGCTCTCGTCGGGGGACGAAAGGACTTGGATACAGCTTGGTACAGGGTTCGCCTGTGTGGCACAAAAAAGGTTCGTAGGGTGGAGTCTGACTCTGTCAGCTGAAGTCCATAAAGTTGAAGTAATTGATTTCTTCATAGATTTACTCACGTCTTTCTGTCAATATCTCACACATGCGATGAACTGCTATCTCGTTGTGGGGCTCGTCAAAGTCGCATATGAGCCAGTTGATTCCGCGGCGCTCTTCACTGAAGGTAGAGAAAGCGACGCAGCTCGCTTGGAGATCTGTGGCCTGGACAATGTCTTCAATTTCAGGCGAGACAGACGCGTTCATAGCGATCTTTTGAATTTCGTCGAGTGTGGTCCGGCTTGCAATGTTGCTGAATGGCTGATACGAGCACCTCGACTCATGATTCTGAGTGGACCTTCGCAGGAAATCGGCGAGTTGGAACAGTCTTGGTGTTTGGAGGATGTCCTATGAATAAAGTATGACATATTAGTTTTCATTCTGACTAAAACATGCGGGGGAAGAAGATTGTCACTGACCGGTACCGAGAGACTGAAACCAAGCTTCCTGGCCAAAGATACCAGTTTGATGGCTTTGAGAGAATCACCGCCCATGGAAGAGAAATCTGACTGCCGACATATTTCATGTTTACTCAAGCCGAGTGATTGTGCAAACAGCTCGCAGAGTATCGTCTCAAAGTCGTCCATCGGAGGTTCATCCTCTACACGAAAAGTGACCCCAGAGAAAGCAGCCAACCTAGGCTTATCGAGTTGACTGCCAATTTTCTGCAGACACTTACGGTCTAGTTTGCCTTGACTAGTGACAGGCATCTTTAGAAGTGGGATAAATGCTTGGGGAATGGCAATGGCTTTGAGGTCGTTTGCCAGCTTCTTCTTGATGCTTTGGACGTCAATGAGCTCAGACTCACTATCGTTGACAATGTCCAGCGGCGTAGCATCCTTTCCGTTGCCTCCTACGTTCATTGCGTAGAATGCGATCAGAACTTTTGAGGCAGTCTCTTCTCCGCCGGTCAAATGTACTGCCTCCACCGCGACTGTACAGTCGCCCCCAAGAAGTAGACTAAGACGCCGGTTAATCCTTTGACAACACTCTTGTCCCCTTAAGATCGAAGATGTGGAAGCAGCATTTCTGACGACTACTACTCACCTAACTTTGTGCTCAATCTCGCCAAGCTCGATGCGCTGACCATTCAGCTTGACTTGCGTGTCGATACGCCCAAACACCTCGAAAGACTGATCTGGGAGCTGTCGCACAAGGTCTCCTGTCTTGTAAAGCCTTTGCATGCTGATGGTGACTTTCCCTGGTAGCCACTCAGGGCTTTCAATGAACTTCTTTGCGGTTTTCTCTGGCTCATTCAGATAGCCCCTGCTCAACGTTGGTCCTTGAATCAGTAGCTCTCCCTTGGCCCCAATAGGCAGTAGCTGATTGTGATTCTCTGGGTTCACAACCCATCCCCAACAAGCTCCATCGAGCGCACGTCCAATGTTATTAGCTCGCGGGGATTGACGAGTATAGATATTGTACGAGAATGCGCATGACGCCTCCGAAGGTCCGTAGCCGTTAATGACATCGGCTCCAGACCGAGTCCACTTCTCGACGGTTTCGGGACTGTTGGCTTCGCCGCATAGAATGACAGTTTTCAGACCTGGCACATCTTCTGGGTCGAGGATATGTGCGAGGGTGGCTGTAACGCCGAGGAAGTTGGCGCCAAGATAGTTGATGGCTCCGGCGAGGCGGTTGATGCGATCGAACTCGGTAGGAACGCAGATTGTGCCGCCGGCAATGAGAGTGGTGAGCACGTCGAAGTTGGTGGCGTCAAAATTGTATGAGGCGAAGTGAAGCACTCGGGATGAAGGATTGAGTAGAGCAGCCTTTTGTTGTGCAAGGGCGTCCGTGACGTAGGCTCTGTGTTCCGTCATGACGGCCTTTTGGCTGAGGCATTAGCAGAAACTCTCGCACGGAGTGATGATGTATCATACCTTGGGGGTACCAGTAGATCCTGATGTAAATACCAGATAGGCTAGGTCTGATGGACGAGCGGGAGATGAGAAGCGCTCATCATCTGTTGAGTTCTCCAGGCCCTCAACGAATGCTTGGCCCAGTACTAGCGCCCGGGAGCTAACCTTCCGAACGAGGTCCTCGTGATGATTACTCGTGATAATGAGCGGAGCGTTCGCAATGGATGAACATTCTCTTAGAAAGTTGATGGGTGTCTCGGCACTGAACCCAACATAGGCACCTCCCGCTTTGAGAATAGCGACGATGGCCAAAACTGCAAAGGAAGACTTCTCAAACAGAATCGGAATAATATCCCCTTTGTTGATACCATTGTTTATGAGGTATCTCGCCAACCTGCTGGAGAGTGTCGAGAGCTGGGAATATGTGAAGATGGGGCCCTCACTAGCAACCACAGCCTCCTTCCAAGGAGTGTTGCTTGCATGCTCGTCAACATAGTCATGAACACAACGCTCGACAGCTGGGATGTAGCAAGGGCTCCAGCTTTCAAGTCTTTCGCGGTTCAAGGGGCCGAGTACGTTGACTTCGCCGAGTAATTTGTCGTGAGGAAGAGTTGCGAACTGTCCGATGATGGTAGTGAAAGTCTCCAGGAAAGCATCAGCTGACAGAGCAGATACAAAATGAGGAATGTCTAGGGATCTTTAATTGCTGTCCAACATAATGTTTGATTGGGAATCCCTCAGTGCGCGTCGACAGGGAACTGTGAGCAGTATAACATACAGTGTAGAGCGATGCGGTGTTGAACATCAATGACGATACTGGGCAAAACTCCTTGTTTGCCAATTTCTGAATCGAGGTCGAAAGTCCCATTTTGAGCAAACAGAATCGTGCTTGGGTCGTCGTGAAGTTCGCCTCCTCGCGTGGAACTGTGGGGGGAGTGTTCGGAATCTGTGTCCGAGCATATCTTTGTGCAATGCAAAGCTGAGCAAGCTTCCAAGATTGTCATTCCTGAGCCAAAATCTGTTACAAACTTGTTCTGCTTGCCATCTATGATTACATTTGTTGTGACAAGAGAAGCGGCATTGTAGATGGCGATAGTGTAAGACCATGCGGTGATGAAGAATGTTTCTTCGCTGACGTTTTGCCTGGCGCACAAGTTGAGAACGTCATTGACAACGTCGCCAGGAAGGGACGTCTTCGCAAAGTCCGATGCCATGATGTCCTTGGCAGAAGGTCAAGTTGCGAGGGTGAATGCAGTACCAACAAACTCAAAAACGAAGCCTAGTCCAAGCCCAATCTAAATAAGACGACTCTTCTCTGTATTAATGGCAGAAGATCTGACTCTCCCCAGATGCCCCATCTGGATTGCTCCGTGATTTCGGCCTCTCAGTCCTCCAATAGGGCGCTCTCGCGCATGGACTTTCGTGGACCCAATGCTCAAAAGGGAAGAACGAATTTTCGAGATGTGCTTCCGAGTCAGGGCTATCACGTCCCTACGGTCCCTTGGAGCAACATTGTTCGATTCGGCATCTTCCCCACGCTGAAGACTCGTGCCGTCTGGGGTCAATGTCCACCGCTAGTCAGGTCTGACTCGGGCCACTGGTTTGGAGCTCCATCTGCGCGATCGAAAATGGACAAGGCCAGATAGTGGGATCTTAGAACGTCTTCAAGATGGGGTACGAACGACAGGAGATGCAATCAAGCTTTGCCAAGCGATCTGGCAGACAAGGATCCTCGAGAGTGGCCCCAGTTCAGCAAATTAGCAGTGGGACTGGTCTGGCTCAGACTGCCGAGGGTTACAGCGAAGGGCTTCAAGCTATCGTGGATCAGCTGGACACTGGCAAAGGTATTGCACAGACTACGTACAAAGGGCTGGCTTCGACGCGAACGGAAAGGCCTGGATGCAGGGGCGGGACTTGGGATTGACATACTGATTGAAGCAGATCTGGCTGTGCAGCTTCAGTGACACCGGAATCCACGGAACCCGCGATAGTTACAACCCGAGATAATTCAGTCTACATTTCCAATGACTACACCCACAAACATGAATGCACTGAAATGCCTTCCTGATAAAATGGGTCATGCGGGGACTACCGGCATCAATGAAGAGCTCCCACCAAAAGCACTGGACTGGTTGTACGTGGTAGGCTCTATCTCTGTCACTATTTTATATCTTTTGAAACCTCAATTCTGGGTTGTATTACACTTTTCAGGCTGTTGTTCTCGAGGCTCAAGATGTTTTTTTTTTCTTTTTTCAAAAAAGGAAAGAAAGAAAGTGTGCGTAATACTCGTACACATTGTCATTCACATTTGCAGCTGCTTGCTCACGAAGTATCAAACGTAGTCAAAATGTGTTCGGTCTAACGATTTCTATCCTATCTAAACCCTAATCAGTTGAGATGTTTCGTGCTTGCGGGTGCATACTGGCCTACGACCGCAGCGAGTCACATGTGGCTATGCAAACTTGGCTTCGTACGGCGCAGTCAAGCCAATGAAGTCAGCCCGGGTGTGCAGCGCAGCCTGATCTTGGCTGACTTCGCACATATATAAGTGGGAAACCCCCCTTCTGAGCAACCCCGCTGCGCTCGTTCTGACAAGTCATCATTTCATTCCTTCGCCTCCACGATTTCTCTTTCATCGACGATATGCGCAGGAAGCATGCAGCCGCGGCGCGGAACATCGCCTATCGGCACAGACGTCGCAGTCCACGACAGGGTGCTGTGAAGACCGCTGCCAAGATTTCTTACAACTCTCTTTCGGGGACTCAGATCCGTCGTTTGCGCATCAAGCCTGGCAGGGAGAGGGTAAAGTGCCAGCTTCGCACCGTCGACAATATACGCAGGAGGCATGCAGCCGCGGCGCGGAACATCGCCTATCGGCACAGACGTCGCAGTCCACGACAGGGTGCTGTGAAGACCGTTGCCAAGATTTCTTACAACTCTCTTTCGGGGACTCAGATCCGTCTTTTGCGCATCAAGCCTGGCGGGGGCAGGGTAAAGTGCCACCTTCGCACCGTCTACCTCAGCGAAGACCCACGATACCATGCACTGTCCTACGTGTGGGGTGACTCAAAAGATATGCAATTGATAAAAGTCAACGGGTCGTTATTTCCGGTCACAGTCAATCTGTATGACGCATTAATCGCATTCCGGGACATGCCCGCCGACAATATCCTCTCGCCACCTTTCCTCATCTGGGTTGATGCCATTTGTATCAATCAGCACGACGAGAAGGAGAAGAACCGACAGATTCCACGTATAGGACACATCTATGCTGCAGCGGAGCGGGTCATTATCTGGCTGTCTTCTTACATCCCGTGGTGGTCTGATCAAACCGATTTACATACGGGATTCTTTCACCATCAAGCAAACACAAGGCCATCCTGGCCTGACTTGGGCAAAAGTGAAGTCACCACCGCCGAAGATGCAATAGTGGAATTTGATCATTTATTCACAAGTTTTCAACGACATCCTTGGTTTTCTCGAATCTGGACTGTACAGGAGGCTGTGCTCACAAACAGATCCCCCATCTTTGCCCACGCCTTGGATGGATTCGTCTGCACTGCGACACTTGACTGGATCGATGGACTCGCGAGAGAAATGAAGCACTCTGATCACGGGCTTGCATGGGATAACTTAGTGAAAATGAGATCATGGGCGCAGCAATCGCACTTGTCACGGGACCTGATGGATGAAACTGCCGGTTCAATGCTTGTGATGCTCTTGGGCCTTACCAAGCTGAAAACGTCTTCCATTCTGCAAGATCGCATCTACGGGCTCTACGGTCTACTGCAGACTTTAAACACTCGGTTTCCTGAATTGCGGTTGCCTCTTGTCGATTACAGTCGCCCCCCTGGACAGGTTTTCACCGATATCACCAAACTCATTATTAAACACACCGGCGACTCCATGTTCATAAAAGAAGCGTCCTATGGGCGTCGGGTGCCCGAAGCCCCTACCTGGGTGCCAGACTTCTACTTCATATCTTCTAAATCCCGATTCATCCCATTTTCGGATCAACCACCGGAGCTTTCAGACGATGGTAAGGTGCTCATCGTCACTGCGAAAATAATCGACTTCTGTGAGATTGTTACTCCTGTCAAGGCGTACACATACATGGCTACATTCGAGGACAAAAAGATGGCAGTCATCGAACGCATCAAAGAAATCGAAGACATGATCGTTAGACCATTGCTGTCTCGTCGTTTTGTGGATTTTGAATGCTTTTGGCCAGCCGTGTTGTCGAATGTCGACTTCAAAACTCTTGTCAAGGTCCGCGAGGCTGAGTTTGATGGCGCAGAGTGGCTCAGCAATGAGCGAGTAAGGGACTTGCAAGCAGCACTCGAGCAATCTCGTTTCTTTTCCACCAAAGAGGGCTATATTGGTAGATGTAGTGATGACGTACCATGCCAATCTGGGGACGTCATATGTGTCACGTCGGCGAGGGAACCGTTCATAATTCGCAGTAGAAATGCTAGCGATCAGTACGAAGTGATTGGGCCAGTGAGTTGGTATGAATATGGGCTCAAAACCCTTGATAGGGGGACTTTCAACCGTATCCAGCTGATATAGAACGGACCTAATCGCAAGTAATGCGCTGGAAAGCTGGTTCTCTTGTTGCCTGGAGCAGCCGGTCGCTCATATAGCAGTCTGATTGACATCACTGACACTCACAAGCAAAGCTCAAGCGAATACCCCGTGTACTGTAGTCTAGAGCAGTCGGTGGTATATGAAGGGCATCTCACCAGCGTTGCAAATAGGAGGTTGCTCTAAATTCATGAGATGCCACCACCATTTGATCGATTGCTTTGCGGTAAAAATATTGGGATTTCAACGACCAATGCCTAAGTTGACAGAAACTCATTGATTACTCTGTACAATAATTTTACACAACAAAGGAAATATCGACTTGGTTCATTGCATTCTCTCGTCTAGCGCACGTGGTTCTCGGCACCTGTCATTGGTGGAGCTCACAGACGAACCGGGCCGCGCTACGGCGCGGGGAACGCGGTCCAAACGTCGTCCGAACACCACCTCTCCGGGCCGTCCGGAACACTCACACTCAACCACCCGCGACCATTCAACGACACGTAATATCCCCTTCTCACATCCCAATCCCAGCGACGAATCTGAACTCTTCGACAGACTGCCGATAGCTTTCACACTCTGCAAATAGTCAGACCCCACCAACTCATCCATCTGTCATGAACCTGGCATCCATTTTAGCACTCACCCTCCTCTTACCATCAACGTCCACATCCAAAATCCTTACCATGACCAACATCACCCGTCTGGACCCAGCGATCCCCCTCGCTCCCTCCCCACTTCCCGACCGGGACGCCATGGACAGCGTCCGAATCATCAAGGCTTTCAAAACCCTCTCGCGCTCCAACATCTCCCGCCTCAAGCTCATCAAGAAAATCCCTTTGGAAGGCGACCTGTGGGAGCCGGAAGGCATCGTCCGCCTCGCATCCCTCACGGCCACCGATGACGAAGAACGCTTCTGGGTCTCCGCGGGCGAATACACCACCCCGACCTCAAAATACCCCAACGGCGAGTGGCGCGACGGCACAGACCGCACCCCCGGCGCGGGCTTCGCGCATTTCGTGGTATTCGACGGGCGGGGGAAGAGGTTGGGCGATTGGGTTGTGACCAAAGAGGGCGACATCGAGGTACCGCATCCCCCGCCATATCACGCTGAAGGGCACTGACGCGTACAGTACCACAACGGCGGGATAGACTACGACGGGAAACACATCTGGGCCACGCTCTCCCAATACCGCCCCAACTCCACCGGCACCGTAGTCCGAATCGACCCCGCCAAGCTGGAGATGGAAAGGATGTTCGCGGTGGGCGACCACCAGGGCGGCATCGTGCACAACGGCATCGGCACCCTCACGACCCTAAACTGGGGAGGGCGCAAAGCAACACGCTGGACCCTCTCCCCGTCCTCCTCAGTCTCCCCATCGCAGCAGCAACAACAACACCCCCTCACCCCGAGCGCGAGCGTCTCCCCCGCCACGGAAACGATCAACCCCTCGCACTGGATCGACTACCAGGACTGTAGGTACCTAGGCGACCACGGGAAACATGAGGTGATGCTCTGCTCGGGCATCGCGACGATGGCGGGCGGCGTCGAGGTCGGCGGGCTGGCCATCGTGGACACGGAGACCATGGTGCCTCTGTGGGAGGTGCCCTTCATGGAGAGGACGGAGGCGCAGGGGGTTTTGGTGACGAAGAACCCGATGGACGTAGCTCTTGTCAACGGGCGGGTGAGGTTGTACTTTGCGCCGGAGGAGGGGGAGAGTGTGTTGTACGTGTATGAGCTGCAGTGAGATGATTACGGCACGTTGGGATGTACAATGGCACAAGACAAAATCTTAATGATGAAACTAATCTATTTGGTCGGTCAAATACTAACGACACACTGGAAGCCATCCGAACCATTACCGGAAGGTGACTATTTACGGTATCACACATCATACATGCTGCCCTGGCGTTCAAGCCAGGCATGCTTTAACCCTAACTCCATGATTACTCCGTCATGTACATCGCTGCGTATTGCCAAGCAGCGAACGAGAGGCAGGCCCGCTTGTCTCGTCCAACCCATAAATCAAAACTTCGTGACTGGCTTTTCATCTAAACGGTCTTGCCGCCGCAGTCGGGGATGATGACGCCCGGCTTGAGGTTGCGGTCGACGTCCATCAGACCCCACTGGTCTTCCCACTCCTTGTTCTTCTCGTTGAACTTGATCTTCCATGGCTCGTCAAAGGCGGAAAACCAGAAGTAGTTGGTGCCGTTAGTCAAAGCAGGACACACCCACTTGTCAAGCAACTCGTTCATCTCATCGACGCCGGCGACTGACGCGTTAGGGCAGCCTGTAGCCTGGCCATTGCCGCAGTTCGTGCCGCCCTTGCTAGGCCAGCCGACCTCTGCGATGACGTTCTTCTTCGTGTCCGACTTGAAGAAGCTGCTAGCCTGGTTCTCCCAGAAGGCGTATGTCCACATGGCGGCGTCCTTCGCATTTACTCCGGCGAAGAAGGGATGAATGTTGGCCATAATGTAGTCGCTCTTGGATGCCAACGATGATGTCCAATCGTCGCCAAGGTCAGATGTGGCAACCGGCAGGCTCAAGCTCTTGGCGGTCAGGTTGGTTCGCACTTCGCTAAGCAGGGTTCCCAAGGCTGATTCCGTCATCTCCTGTCTGAAGAGAATCTCGTTGGCAACGATGACGCCCTCGAAGTACTTGTCGCCATACTCGTCGAGAATGTCCCACATTTGCGAAAGTTGACGGGCGTTGGTCGTCTCATTCTTATCCTGCCACACACCCATCCAGATCTTGATCGTGTCCTCCATCTTCAACTGCTTGATCGAGTGGATGAGCATCTGGGTCTGGTTGCAATCGGTTCCGTACAGGCGAATCGTGTTGGTCAACTGACTGAGGACTGCGACGTCGCGTGTGACATTGTTCTGCGAAGGGGGATTGTGGAGGCAATCCGGGTACTGGGTGTTAATCGGCGTGTAGTCCATGCCGGGGAAGACCTTGTGCAAGTTCTTGTTGTTCATAAGAGCCTGGATCTCTTTGCTGCTGATGCTCAGGTCGCCGTTGGAGTTGGTATCGTCGGATGCCGACTGCCCGTTACTGCTGCTGCCGCTGTCCCGATTGTTCCTGGACAGTAGCCAACCAGCCGTACCACCGGCGATGGCACCGGCAATAACAAGAATGACCACGATGATGATGCACCACTTCCACCTCTTCCTGTGACTGTTGTTTGACTTGACCCACTCGGATTGCGGCTTCTCGCCGCCAAGGTTATTGTTACTGCCCATCGGAGAGCCCTTGACAGGGTCATAGTACCCGTTGGCATTTCCTGTCCTGCCGGCACCAGACATGAGAGCGGTTGCAGCACCTGCACCGGCCCCTGCCGCTGCTGCCGCTCCCGCTCGGCTGTTGCCTGTGCGCTCGCTGTTGTTCGAAAGGCTGAGCATTGAGTTGCGTCCGCTGCGACTACGGCCGTATTCCAAGCCGTCGTCACCGTCGTCTGCTATTGAGTTGGGGTCAACAACGCCGAGGTGGTCTGCGTTCCTCTGGTAGTAAGGATGGTCGTTGTAGTAGTCGTAGCCGTAGGGTGTTGATGACGGCGATAATCTTGAGGGTGATGCTGCGGAAGCGCCAAGGGCAGTCAGGCTAGAGTGAGATGTGCGGTCGCTGTGGGCGTACGGGCGAGGAGCGTTGCTCATTTCATAGGCGTCGCCGCGTGGTTGGTTATAAGCTGACGGAGGAGCGTTGGGGTACTGGCCTCGTGGAGGCTGTGCTTGCCCGACATTTCGTATAGCATCCGCGCCGCTTTCCCTCGCATTACGCTCGGCGACGCTGTGAGCAATACCCGACATACCCCCTGCTGCGTTCTCGCTGAAGTTGTCGGCGCCAGGAGTGACATTTGGGTTAAGATTACTCTGTTGGGCGGGTGCCCAGTCGCGGTGGTTTGGAACCTGTGGTGAAGCCATGTGGGAGCCAGCAGCTGCACCTCCGACAGCTCCTACGGCGGCCGGGGGAACACCTTGGCGATCGTTCCTGCGCCCCTCTCTCATTCGACCAACGTTGGAGTCTGGATGGCCGCCTGGGTACTGTTGTGCCCTCAAGTCCTGTTGCGACTGGTAGTTCGGGGGCGGGCCGTTATAGTACTGTTGCTGCTGGTCGTGATACTGTTCCGGGGGGTAGGGAGAGCGCGGGTGAGGCCGGTAGGCATTATCGAGAGGCTCGCGCTCGGCGCTGCCGTCGTCGTAGTCGTATCGAGGCATGTTTCAGTGAGTAAAGGAAAGATGGCAAACGTCCCGCAACCCTCGTGGGTTGGAAGCCAAGAGTCGTCTCCGGATGGAGTTGGTGGACGGAAGCGGAGCGAGTTCGACGTTCAAAAGATGGGTTGAAGGGGAGAAAACGGCAGCGTGCGACGAGACGGAATGCGGATGCAATTTCAGAGGTCTTGGATTGAGGACTGATTTAATTGTGAGCGCGGTTCTGGCTGCGGGCGGCGTATGTTGACAATTCGTCTGATCATTCCAGTGCACGCAGCCGTGCATGCGACCGAGACAAGACCAGATGGAGAGGGATGCCAGAGGAAAGGAAGCGGCAGGAGCAAAAACAAGATCACTAACCTCCGTGCACCGCAGGTCGCCCGGTGACTTGAGGCAAAAGGGAGGCGGACGAGGCAAGCTAGTCGCGTCCGCCAAGTGCAATGCTCGGAGAGTTTGACAGCGAAAGGTCGTACCCGACAGCAGTTGTTTGCGTGTTCGTGTAGGTGAGGGTAAGCAATGAGCAAGCCGGGCGGTCGACGAAGGGCGACAGATGGATTGCAGGCCACACCAGAAGAGCCAATTTGGGGCAGTGAATGTCTTGTCTTGGAGCCCCTATTGCAATGAGCCAGACGTATGGCAATCGATTCGAAGAGGCGCAGGTGGGAGAGGAGCTTGTCGAGGTTGGAACAAGTGCTGTGCTGGGCTGCGCTGTGGGTGTGGAAGACGAGTGGCAGCCACGGACTGAGTTAAGGCGCAGGTACTCGGTATGGGTGAGA